CTTAATTAAGAGCAGATTCATTACGACACAGTTTGAATTTGAATTAGTCATAGAACTCTGAAATCGGAAATTATCAAACGAATCTATAATTTATTTCCCTGAATTAAAAACATGTATAACCAAATAAATGTTGCAGAAACAGTTGGTACATACATACAGTAATATAATATAATAGAATAAAGATTTAGAATGTGAAATATAGAAATTGGTTTGATGGTATAACTGTACCGTCTACTGAACCGCTAACAGCTACATAGTTAGTTTTACTCCAAGGTTTCTAAGTGTTTGTAGACCAGCACGGAACTTGAGCAATTTAAGCTTACACGATTTGCAAATTTCTCAATCTAATTTTCACTTAGCTGTTTGAAGCAATGTCCAAAGGCAGTGTAGTAATGGCATATGATCTACAAGATAGAAAATGAATCGATGCACAACCAACAACTTTCTTGGTAATGTGTTGAAATAGTGAGAATGCTGCTCACAGGTATATTATGGTAAGCAACATTTTTTTTTATGTGTAGAGTCATGCACAATCTTTACTAACAAGCGTCCCGATGAAGTTCCAAATATTTCGAACAAATAAGTGAACGTTTTCGTGGTTAAATACGTGACAGCAACAGCGTAAGTCTTCTTGTAACTCTTCAAATATGGTTCACACCTGAGTTGGAATACAAGAGGTACGTGATTTTTAAAATATTTTTGGAAAGCTTTGGTTGCAAACAATGGATCATTATCTCGCTATGGTACATTTAAAACTCCAATTACGGCCATCTGGTATATAAAAAAGCTATCTTCAAATTCTTCTTTTTATGGGCTTACTAACCACGTTTTATCGTTTACACGCACTACTAAATTATCACCATGAAATTGGAATCTCCATGACAAATTTTAATAGACTTATCCGTGGACAATTTTTACATACCATTTATCTTTGTCCGTAGTTTTGTCGTTTACCATTTTCTATCAATATCAAGAAATGAATCGAATTTGAATGTCTCAATACTGGTCATTAATAAAGTTGCTGGTGATTCGAGCAATGTTAGTTTGGTATTCTTAATGCGCTTTCTTTCTATTTTAATGGCATTCAATGTTGTAGGTTTGGAATTTCCTCACACAAATTGCATTTATGTATATTTATTAGTAGGATCGATGGCAACATTTTTATTGTTTCCACTATTCAAGGCCACATGTTAAAAAAATGATGCATTCACTCCACCCGAATGACCAATGAACGAGACTTGAGTTAGATTATAAATAAATTATAGCAAATAGCTTGCCACCAATTGATGGCATTTACTGTCCTAATCGGGAATTAAATGAGGTTTTGTATCACTCGTAATTGTCCTTGGATGAATCGCTTTTAAGCCTCAATTGTCAAAGATGTTTTCTAGTTTGCCCCAAGCAAGGAATTTTGCTCATAAATAAGCTTGCACAATGCACGCTTGAACGTGTCTAAAGATAAAGGATGATTAATGCATTTATTTTTTTGATGAACCTAACGGTATTTAACGAAATTATATTAGTTATTCTAACATTGAAGATCTAATCTTGAATAATTTTTGGATAAATAAACATTCCAGAGGTGGGAACGGACTTACCAACTGTAGACTAAGTTTGGGTCAAGCATGAATACCTGGTCTTGTTCTGAACAGGAGGGAATTTTACTTGGCAATTATTTGTAAACCGTCCATGGCATTTCTGCAAAATTATACCCTCACAGGCACATTTTTGATGAATGGGTCAAAATCTATATTTTTATTATGGAAATGGACTTTTCTTTTATTATGGACTGTGATTAAGATATTATTTAATCAATTAAAAATGGCTTTTCTTTCTCATAATCCTTGGTTCTTGGTCTATAGTCCTTAAACTTTACTCATGCGACTTTTTTTTTATCTTGATTTAAGCCATTATACGTGCTCGATTTTATAAAAATTACGTGTGAAAACACGAATTCGCATCCATATGAATTACCTACTAATAAACCCTTATGACGATAGAATCTCTTATTGGTTCCAAAAGAGTTCGAAAGGAAATTTCACTCGGCTTTCAACCGCATTAAAGTCACTACCATCCTGCTCCATTGTTATTTTAGATTTCTGTAGTCGGTAATTTGATAAGTTTATAAAACTTTGTTTACCAACGGCATTGTATGAAGAAAAAGAATAAACTGCGAAGTACCATTTACTTCTCGCATACGCCCCAAAACATTCTACTTCCCCCTTTGGTTCAGACGAAAGCGAACCGCTGTAACAAAACCGGGAAATGAACGGAACAATTGTCCGTTGGTATGCTATGGTAGTTAATTATTGAATTAATGCAATTTTTATTATCAATTTAATCACCGAAATGTTAGTATGTCAGTGGTCAGTGGTTCGACATCCCCGATCTAGAGCTTTGCGAGCGACAAAACTCTGCATGCGGCGACGTACTCTAATTTAAAGTTGAAATTCCAAGTAAGTAAGTTTTTTGGTCATTTTAGATATTTTTGTTTTTCAAAAAACTCCACAATAAATTTGTTGTTTTGAAAAGTTTAATTATTTATCGATCGCCTGACAAAAACGATATATATAGGTCTATTTTTTTTTGTATGCTACAATATACCAAAGATTGACTGGCGACAATTTTATAATGATTTTATTGTTCTGTGCGATGCTCGCCATATGAATCAATATTATTTTTACGAGAGAAATAGACCGAAGTCAGTTTCGTCCGAGTGTAAAGTCGCTACAGACGGTTTTTCCAGAAATCAGCATAATTAATGTTTAGATAGAGTTTTTGTTTTTTGCGAAAGATTGTTGTATTTAAGTAGAGAATTCAACTTTATTAGGGTAAGAACAAGACGTTGCAGATATTCATTGAAAAAGTGTGTTGGTTTCAGTATATGGTGTAGTTTTTAACGGGATCTGCTCTTAGCTAACATTGCACAAAATTCGCCCCAAAGGCAATCTTTGCTTCATATATATAAAAGAAGTTTGCTAATAATACTTAAAAATTAATACTGTAGAAATTTCAAAAAATCTTGTCTTGTAAACAGGATAAGTACTCTTTAATAAGATTATGCTGTATTACAACGCTAAATACCCCAGGCCTTGCAGGGAAACAATCATTTTATATGCACTGAATAGAAAGAAAGCATAAGCTGATTTTGAGGTTCTTAAATTCACCCTTTCGAATTGTTCCTACCAGGTATGTAACAGCAATATAGTTCGGGCGCGGTTATTCTGTAGTTGTGATTGGCTGGAGCGATTTCATACTTGTATCAATCGATCGGGCGAGAAATGGGTTAGGAATAGGGTTTACTGAATTGTAAAATAAGATTACATGCATAGGAGTAAAGATTTGCAACATTTAATTCTGTCTCTCTTATTTAATCTCTTTCGAGATGATCTGCGTAGTAGATAAAATTGAAAATTAGTTATTTTCAGCTGAAATTTGTTATTTGCAGATTGAGAGGCACTGTGCAACGCAGTATTGCGCAGAAAAATTATCATTTTTTCTCATATATATCGGTATGAATTATCAAAATTGAGATAGCTATTGGTGTCCGCAATTAAAACTGTCAGCCTAATGTTTAACTTAGTTAGTTCAAAGTTATGATATCTATGATTTGATAGAAAGCGGCGAATCCGAAATGCTTGAATTTGTAGACGATGTTTTGCAATATTCCTCGAGTTATTACAATTTACTCAAATAGCGAATAATCTTTGCCGCGTACGCACACTTTGTTGATTTATGTGGTGATTAAATTATTTGTGTTTTATTTGGTATTATTATGATTCTGAAATGTAGGTTATCCAACTTATTATTTTCATTGTATAAAAATGGGTCACTGAAAATATATGGAGTGTGCCTGTTTATGGTCATTTTTTTTGTTTGCACAAGTGGGAAAATCGTTCCGCCTTCGTTTTGCTATGCCCTGGGTATATTTTTCTTGGTTCGTAGTTGGTAGAAATATCATTGGTAGAATATCTGGACAATGGCGAATTGCCAAACAGCGTTCGTGCGAGCAATTAGCCAGAATTCGGATACTGATCAGTAGTTTTCATAATCATTTCATTGAATTATGCCGATGACAAAATTCACCAATGCTAATGAGAATAGCTCTTCGAGTATGCTAGTCCCAGTTTGTAATATTTAGATTCACTGTTTCTCGGAAGAATCATCATAATGGGACTATTTGGTGATATTGTTGATATTGAATAAGTCGTACAATGTTCGCCATAATTGGTATTTTCCAGCATCAAATCTTACCTATAGATAGAAAAATGTAGGCTATTACATTTTTGTAGAATTGTATTACAGCGAAATATCGTGTTTGTAAGCGTATTTTCAGTGCGGCCTGTTAGTCTCATTAATTGACAGATGCTATTTCATATTGTGCATGCCGAACAATAGTTAAAATTCGGGGCTATCATTAGACTAAGTCTATTTCAAGCAATCCCAAGGCTCGTGGCGGATCGATAATAAATCGTGATCGACGCGTGACATAAAGTTAGCGAACTAATTTGTAACGTTTGTACCCAATCTGTCAGTCGGAAAAGTGCAATTTATTTTTTCCCAGGTGTGTTTTCAATTTTCCCTAGAGGCACCGTGGTTTCTGAATCTCTAAAGAAAAAATAAAGTTCGACTGAGAAAAACATATCAGCTATCTAGTTAATTATGAGATTGTTTCAACGCCGTGCATGGTCTAATGCGTGTTTTGCGGGGGAAATTATTTATTCATAAAATGCATGCATGAGATGAATTTCGTAGTCAGTATATAGATTACTATTTTGATATGATTTCGAAGATCATCTAGCAGAGATATATTCGAAATACAACATTTGTAGTATCAATTTGAAAGCTTCTAGTAAAGCTCATAAAGGAGGCATGTTGAGCATGCAGTTGGAATAAAATTATAGTTTGTATTATGCCTTAACTTAGAGTTAATTAATCGGTCAAGATAGTGGCCCAGCAAATTATTTTGTTTATATATATAATAAATATTTTCCAGATTTTGTCAAAATAAAAAAATCTTTAAAATGTCGAGCGGAGCGGTGAATATGCGAACTTTTAATGCCGGAAACGCTCGTATGTATTCAGGTCCCAGAGTTTTGAGCAATGTTTCGCGGATATCTGATGATCACTCGAAATATCATCAAGAATCAACTTCATTTGCTGCACAATCCAAGGGTGGTATATCGAATAATCGTATGGCGATGAATAACGTCAATTACGAACAATCTTATCCGATTCAGTCATCGTTTAAAAGTCCTGAAAAATCAAATGCCAAACGTAAAGTCTCCGGTGAGAACATACCCTCGACCCAGCCTAAACAAACTTGCAGCACATTTCGACCTTCGACTACAAGAAAATCAGGTGTCATTAGAATAGATGCTCGCGGATATTCAGATAGTACTGATTCAGAAGTGCCAGTAACAGCCATGACACTGCCGAGAGCAATGAATCCAATAACCAGCTATTCAAACACTACGAGCACTATGACCCAAAAGCAGTCAACAGCACCCGGATATATTCAGCGAAATGCGAGCAAGACTTCACTTTACGCTCCATCGTCCATTTGTCACATGATCGCGACAACAACTCCGCCTCCGACTACTTCAATAGCTTTGAATGATCTTCCGTCTCCGCCTCCGACAGCATGCACCAATGGAATGAGCAGTCCGGCTTTACGAAGGCAGCATTCAACAAACAGTTTCGGAGTTCAGGGAACCTATGAATATACATCTGCAGGGAATACCGGTACAATGCGGAGATCACAGCCAACCTCTTCCGACGATCCTGCATATGCATCTAGTTATTCTGACAGGCCAACATTACTTTACCCTGGACACGCTAAACAGCAGAATACAGCATCGATTGAGGGTTCAACAAGAAGTCAAGAAGACTGCAAGCGCGAAAACGATTTTAATACTAATATAACAGCCGGTGAAAAAGAGATCAACCTTACGAACGGAGCTTCACAACATGTAACTTTTGCCCCAGCGCAGTATTCGGACCCGAAAAAACTAAAAAAGTCATCTAGTTCTGAAGGAAAACCGGTCAGATCTAATTCTGGCACGAAAATTAAAGACGCCGCAACATACAAATATTTATCAAAGTCTAGTAAGAATGCGGGTCAACGAGATGAAAAACGAAAAAGCAGACGATTAGACCGAAAGTCACTTTGGTGCATGATAATAATGCTTTTAATTCTTCTGTTCACTGCCATTGTGTTTTTGATATATTTCGCATCAAATTACAGCAAATTAAGAGCTGTCTCTGTAACATATACCAGCGGGAATGAATTTGCACAGGTATCAACAACTACCGAATTTCCAACATTCTCTGTCCAAACTCGACGAACAAAATCGACGACAACACCTTCTCCAACGCTGGCATCTGTGAACGATAAATTTTGCTTTACTGAGGAATGCATCCAGTCGGCAAGCACTGTTTTAATTAAGATGAATAAATCTGCAGATCCGTGTGTAGGTGGGTCTAACACAAAACTTAGTTGACTTCGAAATTATGAACAGATTTTTATGTAACCATGTATTAATTAAATAGACATAAAATAAATTTAATGTATAGATATATACTACAATGTTCAATAATGAATCCGATGATCATGCGATAGAAACATTTTTCTTTGTAATACTTCTCAGACGAACTATTATATAAATCAAGTTTTTATCATTTTGATAATGACTGTTTCTTTTTACCAGATTTTTACGAGTACTCGTGCGGAGGTTGGATAAGCAATAACTACATGCCCGCCGACAAGAGCAATTATGGTGTGGTGTCCGAGATCACTACATCAAACGAAAGACAGTTGTATGAAGCGTTAGTAAAGTCTGACGAAAACAATGAACTTGAGACAGACCTTCGTGGGCGAAATCCCCGGCAGAACATCACCAAGGCGGAAATGAAGGTGGGACAACATACTACTTACTATACGTATACTAATTTATATTACATTACATATATTTAACTTAGTTACTGAAAATCTGGCTTTCTGTCCATTCGAAAATGTTGTCAAAACTTAAATGTAACGAGTGGTATTAAACGAAATGAGCAATTGAAACACATTGTCAAAGCATGACTTTGACCCTCTCCAGATTTTGTAGCTTATGTGCTAACGCGATTTTTGCCTTTTTATGCTTTGCTGCTTAATTCGAGCTTGCTTGACGTACAGAAAATTTTACAAAAATGATAGGCCGTTAAAAGCAGTATCTAAGAAAATAAAATTTTGAAAGATCGGGCCAATTCTTTCAATTACAAACGTGCTTGTCGAGGAAATCTACAATTTAATTAGCAGAGAATATAACAATGCCAGACGTTTAGTATTCGGCACTTTTAGTTATGTATATATATACTGTGGGTAAGATTCCTTGATAATGATAACTGTATTACAAATTTGTTATGGTACCCGCTTCACAGCCACATGCGCTCCTGTGAAAACGAAATCAGAAGGAAAAACATTTTCCGACATTGAGACAAATAAGTTTGTTTACGCGTTGGTGTAATTATCCACTGACGCGTTTACTTCCAGTGGAATATATTCTTATAACTTGATCACGTTCTTTCCTAACCACGACCACACGTACAAGATCAGATGACTCCATCATTGGCGCCGCTCAATTACATCAATCGTATCATGATTTAAGATGTTGGGAAGTTTCCATCAAACAAAAAGTATTGTTTTCAAGCATTTCCTAACAAACTTGTGGTTTTAATTCACGCAACTCGTGAACCCGAATTATTTATCCGAAACCTGTCTTCAAAACCTTTGACATATATGCCCAATACAATCGAGCCCTCTGCGCTGACAGTGACCGCGACGAAAAGCAAACAAGTTTAATATATTTCCTCGATTACGTCTTTAAGCCAACTTAGGTATTTAATCTCAAAAGAAATTGTTTTCTCACCATGTTCAATGTTGATATTTCCTGAAAGCAACGTTTCTGACTAGAACGTGAACTTTTTACATCAATAATCAATATTTCCTAAAAGTTTATTATAAGCTGATTTTATGTCTAGCATGGACTATATGTATATGTCGCGCTCTAATAATTATTGTACAAAATATGGGTAATACGTAACTTGTAGTTAATTTCATATCTTGTGAGTTTGTGCGATGCCTAACTTCATGTTGTGACGATCTCAAGATCTTACGCAACGCAGTTTTTAATCGAAATTTTATCGGTTTTAAAATAACATATAACATGAAAATAAGAGACTCAATTCACTTATAAATATACCTATTCATCTATGATGAAAACGTGGTCAAAATATATGGAATTCAGAAATCCCCAAACTAGTTTAAAACACATCGAAAAGTCGTGCTGTAGAAACTATTGATTTCGATCAGTGGGAGTCTGTCTCTCTCTTACTTAGTTTATCGGCATTTAATTTTTTTTTTTTTTTCAGGAGTAAATGTGTAATCGAGATGACGGAAAGCAAAAATAACCAAAAATCAAATTCTGATATAATTTTTTATTTCTGTCAAATATGTAAATAGTTCCTACTGCAAGTCATTTTTTGCAAATTCTTATTTGAGTCGCCTACCTTGTCATGATGCTAAACGCATTATGGAAATATGAAAATGTATACAACAATTTTTATGTTGTTTTTATTTCTTTTGCTGTCGAACGTTCTGAATAAATTGATTGGGTTCCATTACATTTGAACCCACGACAATTGCACCTGACTATTGCACCTATAGAAAAAAAATTGTTTTACGGATATTTGAACCCATACTAACCCTAACCCATGGATTTTAGCATCCGCATATAGATTGAACCCGCGGATATACACATGGGTTCAAATGTACGGTCACCATTTTATTGAATAGAATATCAAGAAAGATGTACAATTTAGATCTCATTTTATCACTTGTTATATATCTTCTGTAGTACAGAAACTGGAACTCCACCCATTTTCACAAAAAAATATCTAGCACGTCTTGGCTAAACTGGGCAGTTCATTTAAAGCCAGAGAGCAGTATTCCTATTTGTGAGGTTCTGTAACTAATGGTGAACACAATTGGAAATTAATATTAGGCTGCATATATCGTTGAAGGTGAATTCAGGGATACTCAGGCTCAGATATTAGTGCTTTTATTTGTACTTTCATTTCGACGTAACTCTTTCTCAGGAACTACTGCCGCATGGAGATATTTCGACTGTCTTATATTCTTACCGTATTGCGAGAGTTTTCAATTTATTTTCCGCATGCATGTTGCGTCAAAGTTGAAACGTCATTCTCAATTGATTAAAATATGCATCAAGGTCATCCGAGCGTGAAATCGGGGGTAGAATTATGATGTTATTAACTTTTCTGCTTGGAAATATCATTACACGGACTTAGGGAAATGTTTATACGTCTGCACGTACGAGGTTCCCTAATCCTGACGCGAGCTGGTTTTTTTTGCTGGAATGACAGAGAAAAACAATGACTCATAACTTGTTGCGAGTGATTTTAATATGCCTATCCAACTAAGAATAAATATCAGATTTTTTTGAGTCAAAACATAACTTGAGTGTGTATGAACATTCTAGTATATACTAATATGCTTTACGAAAATTTTCCACGTTCGCTACAGACTATGTCTAGTAGATAAGATATTGGATGAACCAATGAAATTTGAATAATGTTGCGTCATCTTGAAAAAGCAGATTTACTGGAAACAAATTTGCGAATAAAATTGTTATATTTTGAACAGCTGCTAATCTCGAAATTAGGCATTTTGCAACATTTTAAAACCGCTGTTTTGTGGCATTTTGCTATCTGCTATTATCTACAAATAGGGCATCTGAATAGGGCATTGCAACCATTGTTTCTGAGTATATATAGCGATCGGACTAATTGGGAAATGATTAAAAACTACTTCATGATTAAAAACGTTTCGAATGGATTGTTTTCAAGTATACAGAGGATCGAAAACTTGTCCCCCCGATCGGTATTTTAAGAATTTAATTTAATTTCCTATTTTTTAGGCAAAAGCCTTTTTCAAGTCTTGTCTCAACCTTGCATTTATCAATGCCTTGGGAGCTCAACCGATGCTAGACATGATATCAAAAATGGGAGGATGGGATGCACTCGGAACCTGGGACGCGACGACGTGGAATTTGGACGAATTATTGTACGTCATACAAGGCGAACAAAGCATCAGCGTCTTCTTTTCAATGAGCATTCAACCGGATGATGCAAATGAGACGAGAAATATTCTGAGGGTATTTCTATGTAGCCACTTTATGTGTTGCATTACTTACTTTCCAATGTATTGAAAAGATGAATCATCGGAATGGAATCGAACTTTTGGCGATTAATTAGTTTTGGTCACACGCATAAAAAGAACAACCCTATTATTCCCGAGGCTATGGAGCATTATACCACTTGGCCATCGAGCCATAGTCTGATGGCAGGCTTATGAATCCACGAAAACGCCAGACCTATGCTAATCCATACCCCCCACATTAATTGGACTTTATATGAACAAATAAGGCAACTGCTTGCCCCAATAAATCAAGTTTACATGTTAATATAGCTTAGTTTGAATTCAGCAGATTTGAATAATTTAGATTATTGTATGAACCAAAAGTTCTTTGAAATTTGACGAACAAAAAGAAAGTAGAAAAAATTCGTTTGGTTACAATTCTGCCAAGACAGTAAACTTGCTTACATAACTTTACTTATATGCTTTCACTAAAGGTTTTCACGTACACGATTTTTATCCATTCATCATTTAAACTCACGGCACAATACTCCAGATGTTTCTTCCGAGTTTGGTTATGAGTGAACTCCGCAATTCACAAAATACTAACAGATAAATATATAATTTCAGCTGGACGCAGATGGCATAACGATACCAGACGCAGATTTCTACGTATACGATGAAATTCAAACGGTAAGCTTGTATTTTATAAAAAGCATTTTAATTCAGCTTCATATTAGCAAGTGTACTTATGATCTTAGGTATATGTCTTGATATATAATTTATCATTTTCTGCACAAATGAGGGAAGTGAAATCTACATTGCAAACGTGATGCTATCCCTCCCTAACACAAAGAAAACATTTGACCGTCAATGCTGAATTCGTTTACTATACTCACTTAGTTCCGCGTTACAAGATTGTTCAAAATCCGTAAACGAATTAATTTCATCAAGCCATCGACATACAAATCAATCCCCCAGCATGCAGTTGTTCACATAACCGCATGGTTCAGTCCTTTAATTTCTTTAATATTTTAATATTATATACACATATCAATTATCATAGTAGTAATAACGGCTGATGCTTTCTTACATATGTTTATAGGGTGTTCATGAGGTGGTTCCTGCTTACAAACAACTGATACGACGTCTTCTTACACTGCTGGGTGCAACTGATGTAGAAAAAATTGTCAATGACATATATACATTCGAGAAAAAATTGGCAAAGGTATACGAGACTGCCAAATTCGACATTTTGTTTTACAGAAAGGAAGTTGACGGATGATTACAATTAATTTATTTCAACTTGCAAGTATTGCATCACCTAGTTATTTCGTTTCGACCTCTCTAGCGAACAAAAATAATATTTTATAAATCATATTTGCAATATTAAGCTGGTCAACAAGAAATGTTCTCCGACATGTTTAATGCCTTTTTTATGGTAAATATTCTTTGAAATATATTATTGTATTCGATTTTCTTATTCAAGATAATAGCAGTTGAAACAATATCGTCTCAACTTGATGGATCTGTCAATCTTGTTACCATCAGAGAACTCAGGGAATTGTGTCCAGAGGTATATATTGATTTAATTTTTTTATTTTTTTACGACTCGTAAACCGCAAAATACGAAAAGAAAAATCGCTTGAAAAATTTCTCAAAATCTAGTGAATTTATTGAAAAATCATGCTTTATCGGTATCGGTTACATTATTTTTAATTGCAATAACATCATCAAACTCTTTTTAGTTATTCACGAAATCAAAATTATTTTGGAAAAATTGCTTGAAAACGGAAACATTTGATACAAAATGTCGTATGTATTTGAATGTTCTAATCATTAGAATTCTTGCGACATGAATTTATTGAGGTAGTTTATGAACGGCTGGACTATATTTATACGTTTTGTATGATAGGGTGGCAATGTCATACTTAATAAGTTTAGTATTGAGTTCTAGTTTAAGTTTGAATGAAATATTTTAAATTTAAGTCAGCTCTGATACCACATCGATTTCAAAAATGCAATTGCTTCGCTTCAGAAATTTAAACAGACATTTAAAATATTACATGCATATGGTCTGATAAATATCGTTAGACAAAAATTATTTCTTCTTCCTTTCTAAAATTACAATTTATTTCTGTTCATTCGATTACAAGAATATACTGGGTGCTTTGTTCGGACTGCGTGTATTATTGACCTTACCCAAAATAGAAAGTAGAATTTTTGTCGAATAAATAACCTTTCAATCAGGATTTTTAATATTAACTAGAATCCTGGATTATGGATCAGATTCAATCAATAGCCAATTTGATTTACGTAGCGCTGTTAGCTGTCAGAAGATGACACTTGGATGGTTACGTCGAACGTGATCAAACTTTATGTCAATCTCAAGGCTACAAGAAATATTACAGCTAGGCGGGTGTCCGTATACGTCTTTACATGACCTGCTTCCTGTCTTCTGATATAGGATTGCAACGTTGATAAATTTATGATATTTTTGTTGCGTTTCACACGCCAGTGGTCATTCTGAAATTTGACTATGAGTTGTTTCACTTCGGACTGATTCTTGTGTCTTCAATTCAAATGAACATTATTGATAATTATCATCGAAAAATGTGTGTGTACTATGTGGTGTGGTAAAATAAAAATCATAATTGGCCAACTGCGGTTACTGACCAACATTTTTGTGTCCGTCATTCGGATACTACCACAACAGACAACGGATCAGTCGATACGCAGAATATAAGATCGTAATTTTTTGGAAGCAAGATGAAATTTCAATTTGTTCAACCAAACCAAAACAACGTGCAACGCGCTGCGAATCGCACATTGTACTAAGCATATGTGGTATATATCGTAATGTATATATGATAGTATAATGTGGTCTTAGATGCTGTAAATTACATGCACTGTGTGCTGTACGGCATACAATCAACGGCGCTCCAGAAGTATGTGTACCAATATAAAGGTGACTAAATTTGTCAGTCTCCGAACTCGTAATAGAACTAAAATAAGGAAAATCGGAATACAATTATGGCCTAACCCTAACCTGGTACACATACTTCGGGAGTACCTAATCGACAATATTGGGTTGTCAAAGGCGACGGTAGCCTAACAATATGACCTTAACCCTGCTAAAACGCCTCTCTGACAGCTGTTGACCCAATTTATTTGACATGGTCTTTTTAAAGTTATTTTTTTTGTCAACCACTAAGCCCTAAAGCTTCTCTTATGGATTTTTAAAAGCCTGTGCTAGAGTTCTATTCAGCAATATATCTTTAAATTACACTCCGAAAAAAAAATTTTTTTGCAAAAATATCTCAAAAATTTCTAAAAATAAATTAGACTTTTAGAAATTCTGTGTACAGTAGAGGGTTAATAATTAATTCCTAATTAATTAATTTTTTTTTCAACGTTTTCGTCAAGTTTTTCCTAACACAACATCACCGAAACGCCTATTATAGCATAAATGGTTATTACTCTGAAATTCACAATTGTATCTACAGGTGTATCAAGTTCAAGGGTAAAATTACTGATTTTGATGACGTCACAGCTCTTATTATTACTGCACAGACCACCCCCAACGCAAAAAAATTAAATTTTTTCGACGGAAATGCGCGTAGAACGGCGTAAACAATCCCATACGCGCATTTACGCGTTAAAATTACCATTAATTTTACGTTTTTTTTAACTACAAAAAATCTCCATACTTCTGCCAACTATGGAGCAGTCAAAATCATATTTATCAAAACAACACAGCGCCAGGGATGGTCAGGGATAGTATATATGTCTGAAAATACATGCTAAACCAACAATAAGTCATTATAAAGGAGTATTTCCTGTTTGAGCTGAGTCGACATTTTCAGACGTCTGACAGGCGATTTTGAAATCCACGCTATTTATAGAATTCGCACGATGCGTCACGGCTGGAAGGTTCCATCGCTTCTCTCATATCAGGCGATAAAGTCAACAAAGAGCTAAGAGCGATATTAACAGTAGTTTACCGAGCACAAAATTAGGCGTAAATATTCTCTCATATGAGCTTAGCCGCTGGAAAAGGGTTACAATGATTCATGCTGGCCAACGGGAAATTATGCAGGCGGTGCGCTTTAGATGCGTGTGTAGCCGATTGTACTCCCGGGACTTGAATAGAATACCTTCGACTCACTTAAAAACTGATTAGTGATAAATCGGCTAATTTCAGAACACCCATCTGCACCGATTATCCCACTGTTCTCCCTGAAGTGCCATAATTGATCATAAATCAAGTTAGTGTTGTAATATGACAATATCATCTTGTTTGCGTGGTGCTTGTTTACTCTAAAAGCTTCCCATCACCATTTTAATAGTAAAAACAGAGGCTAAGTATTCTACTTACGAAAAAGTGTAATATTTATTTTTTCTACGGGCTATTGATGATCGTCCATAGTTTAATATGCAAATCAATTTATCGTACTGGCTGAAAATAATTCATAGTGTCTCAATGTTTTTGTTACAGTTTGTGACAGCCGTACGATTGCAATCTTGTGCTTGTTGTAACATTATATCCAGTTATTTAAACATAAGAAATGAACTTTGCCTTCCCAATTGTTTTGTTTAAAACAGGTAACATGCCACAAAATTTATGCGCTGATGAGTCGTACCTAAATACTGCATACACACGTAAATTATGGTGTTTCTATTTCAAGATCCAATTTAAACAACACTCGCATGATATTTACTTCAGCGTTTTTTCTATATTAGCTTTAAAAAGACAAGGTAGGCGATAGCTTGCAACTGTTTATCAATTTATTTATTTATTTCTGGCGTGTAAATTTACATATGTAATGTCAGAAACTTAGAGGTAATGTGACAAGTGCCTCCGAGTAGATTTTTTAAAAAATAACAGTTTGTCAATTCTCGAATTAGAAACAAATTGAGTCGTTATTATTACAATCTTAAAACATAAATAACGCTAATAAAGTCATTTACCATAATTTTGCTCATATGACATTACAGCCCGATAGTCGTCGATTCCAACATATTCATTAACGCCATTTTAGGTGAACTTTATGCGTTGCATATCACTTTAAACACCTCAATTCAGTTCAATTTTCTCAATTGTAATGTCGATTTAATACCTAATATTTCTAAATAATATGGAATATTTTTAAAATAGTATTCATCACAGCGAAATATTTTTCTACGTCAAAAAAATAAAAAATCGCCAAATAAAATTGAAATGAGCAAAGAGTATATAAACATATGATAGATACGTGTAAAAATACTTCTAAACGCCAATATATTTTATTCAATATATATCCTCCGACTTTTTCTTATTCAATAAAATCATAATATAAATTATGAAGTTCCAAAGGGCAACCTGTCAATTTCTTTAAAAGCAGCGAAAGGAGATGCGATAAATAATACAAAAATTAACAAATTTCTCTGACAAGAAGCAAATGGCAAAAGAGAAAGAGGAAAGCTAAATAAATGATATCACCTACAATTAAGCCTTTAATCCATATCGACGAAAAATAATTGACGTCCGTTGGTCTCATTAGTATCGACTCGCGCCGTGAGGCCAACAGATTTTGAGTGACTAACTCAATTTTGTAATCAAATAAACTGTTGTGGATAATGTGGCTCGATGTTTTGCAAAGAGATAAAAACTTTTACTGAAAAAAAAAAGTTGGGTTGAAGTTTTAAAAAATGTTTTTTCTAGACTTTACAGAATAATGGATCAAAAAAAAAATGTTACTTTTGTTGATCTAGCAAACATCCAAATTTATATATGCGTGTTTTGAGGTATTTTTAAGCAGACTACACATATATATATATGGATTGAGATAGGATAGGTATATGGGACGTGCTTTGAGACAATTTACAAATAATGCGCTTTAAAAATATGATTCTTTTTGCAGTTTTAGGTGGAGGTTGCGTCTTTTAATTTCGTTTAAATTTAAAATGGATTTTCTAATTTTCCATTGGTGTTATTGATTGAACTGTATTTATTTCTTTTTCAGTTAATCCAAAAACTGATTGAAAATCCGAATTTTTAAAGTTTTTTTTTCTTCATCTATCAATAGTTGCAAAAAGAACAAATCCGATTATCGACTTTTGTGCATTGCAGATTGTGAATATTACATTGTGTCAACTTTGTTTTTAATATCACTCTATAATGTCATCGGTCGTTTCTTGGCATTGCCGTAATGCCAAGAAGGGAAGGTCAAAAAGTAGTTATGTGCAACGAATATAGTTCTGTATTTCATTATTTATATATATAGCGATTTTAGTACCACTGGGTAAAATTTGTTAACAATGCTTGTTGCGAGGTTTTTATTTGAACTAGAAACAAATGCCTTCCAGAAGCCGCGGTTACACTAATTTACTCGTTTTCATACTAAAATAGCTTTAAAATGCTAGTTCGTGCTAATAAAGACGTGGGCAAGAAAAAGACCACTTAATTATAGAATACACATTCGGGATTCAAAAATATAAAGTATAGCATATTTTCCTTGCGTGATAATGTCAGTGTAGAAACGAATAGAACAAAACAGGAAACGAAAGTTGTAAAATGAAACATCACTATTATTTCCGTGCTATGCATAAAAGAATAACTATAACCAATTAAACAAAAATAAATTACATTACATACTCGTCGAAATCCATCTGCTGCGAAAGTCGCTGTCATCTGACGGACATCTTGACATCTGAATGAAACGATCCGCACGATACTGCACAACATTGTTGATTAGTAATTTGCCATCATGTACGTAATTGTCTAATAATGCGCCCTTCGATTGATAATGATTATAATTTGATTATATTTATAGTAAAACAAATATAGGCTTTATTTACTCAAATGGAATTCAAATACTGAATTATACTTCGACTCACTTATACATTATTACGCAACCACTACTCAACGAAAGTTGGAGATTAGGTTAGACTTAACAAGTGACAAAGTGATCAGTCGAAACATTGCCTCTACGCTTGAGATACGCAAGGTCAAACAGGTCGAGAAGCAAAATCTTGGTTTGTATGTATACGCTTATATGCTTTGTCTCAGGTTGAGGCAACTATTTGAAAAATATTTAGCTGTTTCAAATCACGTAAGAATCTTGTAAGCTGTCAAATCGAATCGTTTCCAGTATTCTTCCAAATTCGTGTGGTTGCATATTGATTTGGGTAATTTATCTGATAATGCACAAACCTTTATTCAGTGTAAATCAATGTCATTGATTTTAAAATAATGAAGCTGTTTTGAATAACGGCATGTCTGTTGTATTTACATAATGTTAAAGCAATGTCTATAATTTTGATTTAGATTGACTGGTATCGTTTACTACAGAGGATAATTACTAAGAAATCATTGACTTATGATACACAAGTTTTGGTGGATTCGAAAAACTATATGTCTAACTTGTCTACATTGATGTCGGAGACAAAGCCCAAGTAAGTGAATATCAATATTATACCAATGGCATTAAAGCAGATTTTAGTTTTCTTGTCAAATTTCACGATATATATCTGTTAACTTCATTCATTAGAATGGACGTTAAATTTATTTTGATGCTTATATTTTCAGGTTTGTCTATGGGACATATTTTTCTGTCCCATCCCATAGAAATCCAAGCCTTTCCCATCCCATGGGATTCCCATTGGAAATAATTTCCAATAAAAAATGCTAAATTTAGGTTTAGCGTCTACTGAATAGGACTACATGTACAAAGGGGCGTACAAAACAAAAAAAATTATTGACTTTGTTAACTTTAAAAATTGGGAATTATTATATAACTAACAAGAGAGATATGCTCAAACATATGGACACGGGATTCATAACGAAATGTTTTGCCATCAATTTCCCAAAAATCATACGATATTCTGAACGAACCTAAACAGCCACGGTAACTTACCAGTACCTGTATCAGGGACCAGTAACGGTGCGCGGACTTCTCAGCTTTTCTATGTCCTGTGAAAATGATCTATATTCTATGCTACATGATCTAGATTTCCAAATCGTGTTCCCATGAGTAAAAAATAATAAAGCAAAATTTCGGATGAAATATCAGATCTCATAGCATTCATAGAAAATTTAGGAATAAATGAAAGTAATAGTTTAGGAGAAAGGCGATTTTTTCATGCCGATAAAAAAATTCGGGTCCCACGTGTCCCATGAGAAATACAAATGTGTGCTGTCCCATCCCATTTCCCATGGACAGCCTGTATATTTCACAAAATACAAAGTAATGGTGTTTTAACAATAAACTAGTATAAGAAACATGATTGACTATATCAACGATAAACTAGTAGGGATGGGAGGAGTCCGGATTGGGCGAATCTGAGTAAAAGTTCAAGAACTCTATTCGGATCCGTTAATTTGGCCCTTCTGGCGTTAATGAGAAATTTTTAGATGTCAATATTGGTTTTAGCTACGGTACTGTACGTCGTAGTAATTGCTAAAAATTGTGTTGCACTACCCATGCGATTGGTAGAACAGTTGCTCCTAATCTGCTGTTCTCATAGTAACCTATTTCTGGTAGTAATCGAGATCTTCAGTAACTAACAAAAATTCTTATTCTGAGATGAATTCAATTAATTTCTACTTAATGAAGGGATGATTTTATTAACCGAAATATTTTGGTATATTAGTTTTAGGGCGTTCTAAATTTTCTCTTGGAGAGAGTGTTTTGTATACGCTGCGTTTTCTAACACGATTTAAAGAAAACTTACTGTTAGTAAGGTGAGAGTAAATCAAATGATTTCGTAGACGAATAATGATATTTTTCGATTCTGGATAGAGTGATACTGGCTCCCATCTGCTTGACATAATATCACGCAATCGCGGAACTTGAATTTCCTATTCTAGATTCCGCGTGATACAAAATTCTTGGTTATAACAGTATTCAGTCACAAAATTAATATTTGTATTACACTAAACAATAATGTTGTTCGGGTTTTAAGAGAAGTTGCATAATTTTTGTTCTATTGAATCCAACGGTACATGGTATTTAAAAAGCAATGGGATTGCAATTCCTATATTTGAGACACCATGTTGTTTCGGAATATTCAATGAAAGCTCTGATCAGCATTCACTAAAATGCTGTTGAACCATCACACTGAATAATATTGTTGGTTTATTGTTGGCTATGGTTCCTGTTTTTTTTTAGTGAATTTGCATATATTTTTCCCTATTGGATTCAGTGGAACATGTGTATATAACAGAAATAGGTGTGATACGCGTCACGCAAGAGGTTGAGAAAATCTTCATCCTGATTGACGGGCGATGGCGTCGAAAGAAGTGAACAATACATGACCAAATATTGTTACGCACTACAGATGTAAACGTACACAGTGAAAACGTCAATTACTAAACAATAGAATTGGATCCTTGAACTCTTTTGAAAGATACAGACTTGATATCAAATCCAAGTTCTCGAAATATGAGAATTCGTACGGAATCCATATCTCGGCTAATCCCTGGAAAATCCTAGCTGAGATCTCTTTAGATTCAATGCTGATTTTTACGTTTAGTTTTTGTGAAAACCAAAGATTAACTTTAACAAAGAATTCCTTACTAAACGAAATGTCGCGGATAACTTATATATATTAATAAACTTATTTTTATTTCTAACATAGAACACTTCATAACTACATGATGTGGAGATCTGTTGTGACAAAGGCGAACTTCTTGTCAACGCCATTTCGGAAGGCGATGTTGGAATTTTCAACTGCTCTGCTTGGACCCAGGGTAAGTTGGTCAAAATAACAGTACTGTATCAATAATGGTCAAGAGCCAGTTCTAAGTGGCGAGACATGTCAACAAATACAAGTTTTATTTGTAGTACTGCCAAACAAAATATTAAAAAAATGGCTTGTGTGAAGCTTGGCTGAAATGATACGATACATTAAAATTGAACTTTTGTAGGACTGCGTAAATAAAAATATTTTATATGGTTTTCTAAAAATCAGTTGAAATAGTGAACTAGATACTGGATGGCGTGGGTACATAGTCCACCAACAAATTTAATAATCTGGTTTTAAACGTTATGGCGGACCTAAAATACCCCTTTTATTATACCGCGCACTCATTAATTCACATGTCACAGATAAAAAGGGATTGCACTATTAATACAATCTTAAGAGTAAAATACTTCTATATGCATTGCGAACATAAATCACATATGATCTGTTCATATTTCACAGTTCATTTCAGATTGTATATATAAAATTCAATTTTGTACTTGTGAAAAATCCAGACTGTGTGCACAGTTATGACATTCGATACTCTTAATCTTTTCTGTAAACACATATTCGTGATATTTTTTGCAAGTTTGTGGTTTTTAGAAATTACACGAAATATTTAAAAGTTTGCGTTTGTTTGCGTTTTGTCTTTTACGCTTGTCCGCTTAAAGAGCAATCCAATTATCTGATATGCAACGTAACCTAAAACGAGGAAATATTGAAAAAGTTGTCTATGATGTACAGTCGTAAACAAAATATCGGGTTGTGATGCATATGTGTATATATATATACATAGTGGGTTTTTTATTACGTTAGTTCAAAAATCATTGATGTGTGATGATGTACAAATTGGTTATATTGTTATAGACTTCGACAGAAAAGATAAAAATGCGATATTGTCATCTGCATATGTAGGTTATTGTGCTACAAGTATAATAATATAGCAATAGCCACTGACATGATTTTTATATTGTAGCAAGAGCGCCCTCTGTGGCGGGAATGTCTAGGAAAAGTAAACAAGCACTTTGGAGCAGCAACAGGTGCCATGTTTGTTAGAGAAGCTTTTCCTGTTGAATCAAAACGAAATGTAAGAATATTTTTACTGATATCGCTTTAATGCAATCGTAAGTGAGGAGAAACATAATTCTTTAACCCTAAATTAATTATTTCTAGTTTGTCTTGATTCGTATTCTACTCTACTATCTACTGCAATACCATGTTAGAATGCACATCTTTTTACTTGCTTGCTAACATGGTGTATGGCTTAGATATTTTTTTTATCCACTCATATAAGGGCGGTAATTATTTCATTTTGTTTTAACTCATATTCTTAATGTCTTGGGTTAACTTTCTACCAAATGCGCCTGACACAATTATATATTATTACCATTGATGGCACTTTTGATTTTTGATATTTTTATTACATTTGGTTTAATTAACGTACCGATTTCTTTTGATTCAGATTGAAGGAATGGTGAAAAACATAAAAGATGCTTTCAGAAGAAACTTAGGAAATGTGAAATGGATGGACGACAATACCAGGAGAGTTGCAGTTGGCAAGGTCAGTTTAAACTTTTGTTTTGCCGAACTATTTACATGAAACTTTTCATAAATTCCTATCATAAACCTTTTGTATGTATGAGTATTTGGGGTTCTGGATTCTAAAACTATACTCTGAGATTTACAAAGAACTACCGAATTAAATATCTATTGTGTCCACCGTACTACAACCCTATATCTTTGGACGTGTTTCCGAATTGTGAACGTTTACATAAAAAATAACTTGTTGATGTTCATTTACTACCTAATTTATCTACTATATTTCTATATATATATATTTACACGGATGTGTTAGTATATAGGTTCCTTGGTTAACAAACAACCTTACATGGGAAAAAACCGCACTGATACTGACAAAGACTAGTGTATGTATTGATATTTATTATAAACAGAGTGATTGCTGCTGTTTATTTGCATCATTCCATTCGTTTTATTATTTTAATATAATTCACTCCAGCTCAATGATATGTCTGTTGAAGTTGGTTATCAAGAAGAATTATTGAATGATCCGCAATCGTTGAATAAAGAATATATGGTAAGACTAGACTTCCTATGCATATATATATATATGCTTCCTCTGTAAAAGATGTTGATTGTTTCCATTGAAGATAATAAGGCATTTCGCTCAGAAAGAGAGCCGTGGAGAAGGTCAACTGATAGTACATTTATCACACATTTTATGTGTCTTGTTGTCTTTTTATAATCGCCTATTTTTTATAACCTCAATTATTGGGTGATGTGATGGCCAGTAGAATATTTTTGTATTTATTTCTTTTTAATTCTGTCCTAAATAAATATGCTGGCAATTTTTGCGCGGAGTATAAAAATATAAATCGAAATTTAGATGTGGGCAAATCTTCAAGTCGTTTCAATGAAACGATTCCCGGTATACAACTTAGCTATTTGTGTACGAACCACCCCTATATAGGCAACCGAATGAATGCTGTTCTACAGGCCGATTGCTATAATTACTCGTTAGAATTCTGTATTTCTAATTCACTTATTACTTTACAGTTTGATGTTGATGAAAATTCATTCTACAAGAATATTCTTAATAGCGTCAGATTTAAAATTTCACAAAGGGTCGACACATTGTTTGCTTCACCAGATGTAAAAGAGTAAGATACATAAATGATAATATCTTTTCAACCTTTTTTGATTATTCCACAATAATATCAATATTTTAGTTGTTTTTCTTTTAAAACAATTCACGAAAATAGGCTAAGCATCCTTCATTTTAGGGGTTTCCAAAAATGCCTTGGATTTTTCAAAAATGCAATTCTGAAGCAGCAGTTAAGGAAAAACAAATTTTTTCAACAAAATCCGCTCACATATTTAACACGATCCAATAAACTACAATTCTAACAAGTTCTTGCTGCTCAGAATTGGTAAACTTCGATTAAAAAACCTAAATTATGATCAATCATTCTCCACAGGTGGAATTTGTCTCCGCAAACAATGAACGCCTATTATTCTCCTGCAATAAATCAAGTATTCTTTCCTGCTGGATTACTACAATCTCCTTTATACAACCCGAAATTTACAGCGTGAGTATATGTATTTCATTCCTTTAAAATTACTTAAGCTATGATTCGAGCAAAAATTCAGAAGGGAGTATCGAACATTCAATCTAGTTGCAAAAAACGTCTAATATGCCAAATTATACCAAGAAATTATACAAATAAAGATTGAGAAAACAGTGTATTAGCAATAAATTCCTTAAAGCAGAGGAAGAGAGCTTTTGCGATAACTGCATTGTTCATTATTGTAATATTTTGGCCGACTAATCATATAGAACAGGGGTGTGCAACAAGCGGGATGCAGGCCACAACCCGTCCCGGCGAGCCATTTAGTGAGGCCTACTCAGATTTTTCCCCATCAGGCATAAAATCTTGATCCGACAGATTGTGTTTAAAACGGTGCTGGCATGAATGAAAATACATCAATAGTCAGTTAATGGTTGATGCAACTTCTGTCAAATCTGATGTTAACAATCAATGCAAGAACTCGGAACTTCAAGTGTCCTACCAAAATGATAAATTTTTCGAAATTTTACTTCGCTGTATACATTGGAAAATTTAATTTTTCGTGGGGTCCAGCTACATGTCTAAAGTTGGTTAGAAGGTATTATCAAATCCAACTTTCCTTATTTTCACCCTCGGCTCCATTCATTCGTATATCGTCAAGATATTGTAACATATATTTTTCATTTAGGGCGTTGAATTATGGGGGAATTGGATCAATGATTGGTCACGAAGTTACACACGGATATGATTCTTTAGGTATGATGATTTCTGTTCTCGATTTAGATAATTATAAATTCTTCAAGACGGATATATATATAAAGCCCATACAAACAGAAAATTTGCAATGATTGATTTCGTGTTAGCGTTTCGCATTCCTTTAAATATGTCTTCAGTAATCACAATTAAACTGTTTTGTGATGTCTATACACATAACCATAGTCTGTTTTTATTTGAATGTCAGATTATTGCACAAAATACTAATTTAGAATATTAGCGTTTTCAGAATCAATTTACAAGCCCCACCAATCTGTGAGCTGTACACTTCCTTTCAAATTGATTCCAAAATGTTATCTTTACTCATACTCCAACTCCAACCCTTGAACACGAAATGAATTTGACACCGCAATGCAACTTTCCACAAACAATCTACTTTTAGGACATTCATACCAGGTTAACTGTGTGTCGAGGAACCCTTTCACGTACACAAATTTCCGGAACCCTAAATTTTAAAATTTATCGCAACAATAGAATTTGTAAATCAAACTGAAATTTGTCCAAATAAATTTTTTCTACCTTTGGATGCAAGTTTTACTGCATACCAAGGCGACCAAATTAAAAGACTTGTTATTATAGTGTATGCCCCATACACTCAAACAGGCGAGAAATACGACAGAGGTGGCAAATACAACCCTTGGTGGTCAAAGCCCTCATCAATCCGATACAAACAACGATCTCAATGTCTCATCAACCAATATTCCAAATTTTCGATTGGGGATCTTTACGTGAGTATTGAAGATAAAAGGATTGTGCTTTACTTAATCAGTAGACAGAGTATAGATACTTGATTAGAAATTTTATTATCAGACTACACAATTAAATAAATAATATCTGACATCAAATAGAGCGGGATATTATTCTCATACGTTTGTAAGTCGTAACGCGGGCTGCATTTTTGAAATTAAAATGTGTCTTCAGTTAATTAAGTCAATATTATTAAACGGCAACAGCAGTAAAGATCGAGAAACGCAAAAAAATGATTAAGTAACTAATAGTTTTTGATATAATAAAGTAAATGTGCATTTCTGTGACGTTTTAGCTGACAGAGGTCAGAATAATAATAATAACATGATAAAGGGCTGGATATGTATATTTGAAGTTGACGTTGGTTCGTCATATTTATAGATAAACTTGACCAATCGTTAGTAATAATCGCACGTAGAATATGTATGATTTGAACAAATAACCAGCTTTGTCTGGTGTAAGCTTGCACGAACATTAGTGTAGAAAATGCGATTACATGGCTAGTTGAAGAAGCCATTAGTTGCTATGAAGCCACGTGGAAACAAGACGTTTAAAAAGTTGCAGTTGAATGTGATGTTTGTCATATCATATTGAGCTTTCAACGACACAACACCGTCATTCCATTCGCGATTTACTTCAGGCGAAAAACGAGTCAAGATTTCCAAAATTTAATATAATTGACGTAGATTTCTCCAACTTATACTAATTCCACCTCTATTATTTAAAACCGTTTTTTTAATTGGATTTTACAACAACACATGAAATATTTGTGCTGTGATTATACGATTTTGACTAATTTCATATAAGCAGTGAAGGTCAAAGGTGAACACCACGAGTGACACTAAAATTCATGTACACAAGAATAATAATTAGATAAATATTGTTGTTGCAAGTTCGTAATCGCACCATACGTTGGAATTGCCCCTAAAAATAACAGAAAATTTCACTACTTTTTACGACAAGCAGAACTATAGTTACATAATGGACTTTCAAGCTTTTTGAATGAGGAACGATGGCACTTGATGACCATTACCGCGCTGATCTGATCACTTAAGTGTTTCTCATCAATAATTTGGTCACTCAAGTTATCATCAACAATAGCCATTTTGCTACAAGTCCATTTTTCTCACTAACAATTTACTTTACTCGTTATTTTATTCCCATCTTGGAAAAGCATTATTGTTCCTGTACTCTCGTTGGATAATGTGATATTTCTTCAACAATTTCATACAGGTCAATGGAGCAAATACACTCAACGAGAATATAGCAGATATCGCTGGGTTGAAAGTCGCGTACATGGTAACTATCGAAACAACTAGTGCGAGAATCCTGATATGTATAAGAACATTTTTCACTTTAAAATTATCTCGATGGTTTCTGACATTTTTATAGAATCGAACTGTTGCCAGCCCATTTTATTGCCAGTGGTGTCTTTGAAAGCCATAAACAAGATAGATGTCATAAAAAAAATATTTTTAACGGTCCCGGTATTAAGCTTAATGGGATATGTACCCTTGCTTTCAAGCAACTTTTGAAATTATCCAAAACCTCTGTGGTATTTTTAGTATAAAAATTACAGCGCTTTTTAAAAAATGAATTTACATTTTTTCACGTGTTGTATAAAACCTTAAAACCCCCAGATTCGTTTCTTTTTTTCATATCACATTTGTAACGTCACATTCAGGCTTACAAGTATTGGTCAGAGACAAATGTAAACAATGAAGAGAACAAAAAGCAATTGCCAGGTCTGGGGCTCACGAACCAACAACTATTTTTTGTTGGATTTGCACAAACTTGGTGTATGAAACGGCTACCTTCTTCTTACCGATTACAATTTTTGCAAGACCAACATGCTCCTGAAAGATTTAGGTAATATAGCTCATAACGAAACGTTTTACCCAACCCTATTTATAGTCAATAATTTTTTAAATGGGTTGCAATTATACCATTGATTGCTGCCTCATTCATAATGATTTATTGAGAAACTACAAAAGCAGAATTCAGCCGTTTAACACTCAATATCTGAATTGGATTATGCAATATTATATATCTACATCTAAAATCTAAAAAAAAAGTGTTTAAGTGCATTTCAGATATACGATATTTTCTTCTAAACGCGACATATTTCTTTTTAGAGTACTCGGCGGGGTCAGCCAATACAAAGAATTTGCAAAAGCTTTTAATTGTCCAACAAGAACACCAATGAACCCAGATAAAAGATGTCTCGTGTGGTGATCGATAACAATGATGCAATTTCATAACGTTAAATTACTGATTACAACTGAAAATTTGTTGTGATTCACTTTATTACGATATGGAACATGCGTTTCAATTATCAAAATTAAGAGGCATAAAAATCCATCTTATTTGTATTATAGATCCATCCATGCATGATTGTTATTTCCATTTTCCCATTTGCCTTAGCAACTGTACATTCAATGTATGTCCAGAATCTATATACTTTTTAACTGAAAATATTTTTCAATATTAAAGTTATATTTAATTTTGAATATTTCGCCAGTAACAACACAGGTCGTTTTAATACAAATAATAAAAAATTTCAATACATTCGTCATACTAATAACCCTTGGGATATGTGTGAAAGTGAGAAACTCCTAAAAAAATATATGCTCGATTTTAATTCGGTATATCAAAACAGATGACAAATTCAAATTTTTTTTGTTATTGATATTAACCATACATCTTTGACTGAACCTTTTACTGTACTTTGTGTAATTTTATTTTAAATGTTTTATATAATGATCATGTCACAAAGTAAAATTTATTACAAATATATTGTCACAACAGACATGCGATGTCTAAGGTTCGGACTTCTTTGCTTCAGACATGGCAGGCTCACATTTGCGCAATCTATAAACCACACTACGAAGATACACTTTCCAAATATAACAGGTTTATATCACTAACATTCACTACTATAAAATAAATATTTTTGTACTAATGATTAAAAAGGGAATATTTGGGAAATACTCGATCATAAAAAATATTTACAATAACATTTTATCACGTTATACATCCCGTGTTTCCCCGAAAATAAGATCTAGCCTGAATTTTAAAAATTAAAAAAATCCCTCCCTTTAAAATAAGACCTAGTCGATAGCGCAAATTTTTTTTTGGCCTAGTTGATAGCAAGAAAAACCTCTCCTACACGTTTTAAATGAATAATAATCTATGTTTATCAGTTATTTCAAATGAAAACGTGTTATTTATAAGTAAATCGATATCGGTTTTCAAATTTTGTATATAACCGAAAATCTCGTAATTCTCTACTTTGTAATTTTGTTTTTCAAAAATGAAAATAAAAAAAACATCCTCCGAAAAAAGCCCTAGTGTTTTTATTTTCGAAAGAAAATTGAAATGAAACCCAATTTTATTTTAGAGGAAACACGGTATAATATACTTCCAAAAGGATAATAAACTAAAAAATTGACTTTAAACGAAACCCGCACTCTATGAACAAGAATGCACACATGTTATAAGGAAATGAAGGGAAGAAATATGCATTAATAAAATGTTCCTACTTGTCCTCGACTAATAAAAAAAAACTCTTACGCTATATATTAATATAACTGGTTACCATGAAATGTAAATTTTAAAATATACAGCAATGTAAACATTTTGACATCCTGGACCAGTGGTTCCCAACGTTGATTGACCGGGGGCCAAAATTAGAAGCGAATATTTGCGGGCGGGGTTCAGGTCGCGCTCAAGCGCCATGACAAAATTGACAAAAAAAAAAGGCCGCAAGTATGATTTTAGATACACCTAGCATCGCAGTTTGTTACGTAATAAAATTAATAATAATTATATATATTAGTTGTTAGGTGATAGAATCTCTGACCAATTACAATCCCGACTTTCCACAAGGAAATTGCAAGTGATAGTGATGGCGATTAATGTTATGTTCCTTCAGAACTGGAATAGTTAGCTGGGAAAGAAGACGAATCGAAATTTTGATTATTTTTAATTAGGAAATAAGAACGCTGTCATTTATCCAACCACCGTTTTTAGATTCTAGTTTTCGTTTTTTTATTGACTGCGTATGTAATCCTAATACCGGTATAATTGAATTGATACGAATATACACGTGCTTAAACTGTGATGACGTAACCAATGGCGGTACCTAGAACGCAGAAAGATAAAAACATAAAGTGTTAAACTATTTCACTCAAGTTCGGCGAGTCATATTAAATTGTTACGCGGGCCGTAATTGGCCCGCGGGTCGCGCTTCAGGAACCACTGTTCTAGACAATCTTTAGAAAACTTCAAATAATGTTCATGGCAAAATTTACTGTTTTGAAAATGCAATATTTTCATTACAGTTAATTACTCACGATATTATTTATGGTGAAAAATCCTGAGTTATTGATATTCACAGATAAAAAGTATAGTTAAGTATAGTTACTGTTGAAATCATCAGTTTACATCATTAATTGCTCCGCAACCACCATCTTCTATGCGATTAGTAGTTTTCCTGTTATGTTGTTCTTCCTCGCTCTGCTCTTTCGCATTTTGCTGACTTTGCAATTTATGCAATTTGTTGGCATTTTGAGACTTGCCCATTGTCCGCGCTGCAGTGCGATCCTCATGTGGTCGAACAGCGTTTATTCTATGTTTTATACAATAAACTATGGTTCCCACGACGTAGATTAGCATAGATGCCACGAATACCAAGAAGGCAATAACCAGTGGATCACTGTTGAAAAATTTATTTATTAAATATTTTTCGGGATAATTATTATTAACTTGAATAAAAGGATCTTCTGTAGAAATTATCCGCGACCAATACAAATTTGAATGTCCAGCGCAATCTGTATTCCGTGCCCTAACTATAACTAAATAATAACTAATTATTTACTTTGAGCGATGGCGGGGGTGGTTTTTTTCGGGTTGCTTTCTACAAAGGAAGCGAACATAAATAAAACAAATATCAGCTTCATGAAATTTAAACCGGTTATATTCCGAAACGATCCTTTAAAAAACGAATTGAATGTCGAGGCCTCTAAATCCGGCCCTGACCACCAGTTTGAAGATGTATGTGCCAGATACCTTGTATTAGAATGTATTACATACCTGAATCGATTTCTACTTTCTGTATCTTTTGGCTCTTCTGAAAAGCTCGTAGACTCTGAGAAGGAAAATCTTGTTGAAATTTAACAAAGAATTTTAACTGCTATATATTTATTTGTACGTGTGTAGGTATAAATTTCGTCGGTTATCTGTCTCATCTTCGCCAGGTTTAAATTCCAAGTAAAAATATTGTTATTATATATATAATTTTAATGATATACAATTGGACATCTATTAAAACGTTTGCAGCGAAGTAAATAGGTTCAATTTAGATCAAGAAAATCTTGTCACTGTGAGAATCTAAATCATCATTCTCATTCACTTTTCAACATAGAGTATTCAGTTTGTTACGGAGTGGATATCACAGTTATGAAAATTACATTCATTAATATTTTCCAATCTCGAACTTGGAATATCGTGGCCAGTGGTCAATAGCACAAATATATATATATATATATATTCTCATGTTACAGGAACGGAGTAGGCTTCGTCTTTTTATAACTATAAAGCAGAATAAAAATACTGAACCTGTGATCGGAGTTGTTCCCATTTGTGAGACAGTTGTATACCCGCAAATAGAATTTATTTCGTCCGATTGGTCCTCACAGCTGACAATGTCGTTGCAGAGATTTTTCTCTTTAAAACAGTAAGATCTATCTCTGCAAGCGTATTGCCTAAAATAATTAAAAACGGAAGTGTGTTTTATAAGTAGAATATCGTTTTTGTCCAATAATGTCATATTTTAATAAAAATTAATACGCACTGTGGCGGGCAACCTCTGTCACTTATTATTGGCGTCCACCCGTACAAATTTTCATCAATGTTATTGAAGTCCACTGATCCTTCTTCTCGTTTGCTAGCTCGACTGTTCTGCCGCTTGACACGATTCAATGATAAGCCTTGAATAACACGAAATGAGAGTGTATTTACATGCAAACAGTGTAGTAATTACGATTTAATATACACTCATCTACGAGAGTTAGCTATTCAGACTACATTACTAAAAACACGATTAAGAGCACTAACCATATCTAATATACAACATAAGATTATAAGTACTAAATTGATAAATATATATTACCTGAAGTAACGAGCATCAAATCCCAGATAACAAAATACAAAATCGTAAACGCTATAAATGTTGTTGTCTTTGCTTTTTGACTCATCGTAGTGAAGATGCAATACGTTGTTTTAAATAAGAACCAGCTGTATTGAAATTACTGTTTTGCTACTCCGTATTTACACAAGTTCTTTTGGTGCTTTGTGTTTGGATTGAGTGTTTATCAGACTTGGGTAAGAATTTAACTCTTAACTGAAACAAATAAACAATCAAGAGCAATTAGACTTTCGTTCGATTTTTTGTTTACTCGACTATTATGTACAATACCGGTCATTATGACAAGAAGATTTCAGCTAAAGGATTTGGTACATAAAATTTCAAAATACTTCCTTTACGAATATTTTTTCAAACTTTTCATGAATTTGACAAAATCTGTATTATCACACATACCTTCAAGATTGTTACTTTAGCGACGCTGGTGATAGTGATTAAAAGGTATTTCATGTAGGTATACAAAACCAAAAATTATAAGCACTTCCATGGTATGATTTTTGAGTAATGCTTTCCGTGATTTAATAATATTTCATTCTAGCTCCGTATGTAACTTCATATTGAACACTACCCTAACAGATAAGAAAACACTTCTGTTGATTGAAATGACATTCCTTAATTTTTTTATTGAAGTTAAGTATACTAAATGCATATTTGCTGGGTGATTTGTTTTTTTATTGTTATTACAATTTCATTTTCAGCTACCTTGATGTGTACAAACCTTAAATGTTGTAAATGTTACAACTCAAGGGTAATTGACTCGTCATTTTTCTCGTTCGCGTGTGAATCAAAGTTAATATTTCTCTATTAAAATTGTCCACTCAAAGTAGAATTGAAACCTGAAATCAGCCACAAAGTGACATGCAATACGATCATTGGTATAGCCCTAAAATTCCCAGTGCATCTATTCTAACACGTTGATGAATTTTATTTGTTCACTCAATTCAAACGTATGCACAAAGCCGAGTATTATGCAATAACAAAACTAACTATTCCAGACAAAAATGTTTTGTTATGGTGATAAGTTGGCGCTTTTGTAATATAATCTACAAAAATCAATCAATATGATTGACAAATATTCGAATACATTAATTGAAATTGATCGCCAATTTTCTGCACCATATCGGTAGCAGTAGACAGGGACAAAAACAATGCGTAACATTTGTTATAAACATTCTATCTATTGCATACGTGAATATACTAAAATGCTATTCCTGAGCGACAAGGCTTTGGTATTTATGGATAAATACTATCGAATCTAAATCAAATTGCTTATCTATTATCGAAACGCAAATATTTATAACTCGTATAAAAACATTAATAGTCTCATCTCGATTATTCATATCGTTCATTTTAAACAATAACATGTGTGACATTTCGATTTCTTATTTTAAGCGCGCGGGAAAAAAGTCATATTTATTTTTATAATAAAAGCAGAAACATTTTTTCTTTATTGAGATAAAAAAAACTAAGTGAAAAAGAAGGTAGATCAACAATTTGCGGTGGACTACCATTCATCTTCCAATGTTTTTCTAATTTATCAAAAATATTCATAAAGATAATACACTTGTGATTTATGAGAAAACAGTATGGAGTGAATAAACCCTCATTGTTGAAAACGGAAGCGGTTTCCACTTGACTAACGATTTCTATTCCTTCTGAAGTGCCATAGTAAGCAAGGAGAACAATGCTACCTGGGTGTAATCTTATTATTTGTATATTATATTATTTATATATTAGTTTTTATACGGCAAATGTACAATATTCTTGGAGTGCCATTATTATACTTCGATTGGGACAAGTTGTGGCTAGACCGGTTTTACTGACCCCATTCATTATTCAAGTAGGTTTATTATTGCGAATATTATTTTTGTTATTTTTCGCGTTGGAGGAGTTTGAAAATTTTGAATGGAAAAATCTCCTCTTAACGATGAGTAATTGTCGTGAAAAGTCTTCACGCTTTTCAGACAATTAGATAACTAACAAGCCGTGAAATAAATCCTTTTGAATACCCTCAAATTAAGACGTTGTCGACACAATGTGTAAATAACGTCAACGACGATATTCTTAATTTTGAAGTATCTGAGAAAAACGGAGAAATTTATTTCCGATAATCTTTGTGACGTACGATCAATCGTAAAGGTTCTACCAGCAGTTTGCGAATCACCTTACATTAGATAAGTTGGATAGTGACTGTATCTTGAATTGAATTGAGTTTTGATTTGCGATTTCTTCTGAAAATGCCTTTTCACAAAACCATTTTATGGATAGAACATTTCGCTCATATCGAAACGTATCCACGGTAATAACAATTTTCTTGAGATTATTTCCCTCATGGTAATTGCAATGTATAATCAATAATATTAATTAAATTTTTTGGAAGTATCATAATGGATCGTTATCCACGATTCCGCGCATGAGGACGCACGGAGTGCATATTCCAAGCAGATAACCGTATTAGTTTGCACATATATACTAAATATACTATCATTGAATCGTATACATATGAGTAAATTAACAGAAAATATATATTGAAAAAATGAAAGCTGTATGCATTATAGTTTCAACTACAAAAAAGATACATTATTTGATTCATTTTTTGATATGGATTAGATTTCCTTAATTTGGCTGAATTCAGAAGCGGTATCCGGCATATAAGCCATCATGACTTCTTGCAACATAGCACAATTCAAGTGATGTTGAAAGACAAAAATTTTTAAAGTTTATTTCAATATTTTTACGTTATTGCGGGATTCGTCAATGTCAAGCTGGATTTATTGATCGAGTACGTTAGAGTTCAACTCATATATCCGTAGTTTCCATATTTCGATAAGAAACCGACTGGAGCGGCGATGAAAGATATGATGCAAGCTGCCCATGCCATCCATAGTGAGTAACCAAACTCTTCGCCAACTAATAAATTTTCTCTCGTCTTTGCTGTGTATACGGAACATCCAACCAGAAAGAATACACCTTAAATATGAAAAATGCATTATTACAGCATTATGTTGGCTATTTAAAAAGATCTTTCAATTTTAGGGAGAGGGGGGGGGGGATAGAAAAACCTTGTTTTTGTTCACATTACGTCAACATCAGCGGGCGTTGCTTCTGTCTTGTCGCGTCAGTGGCCGATTTATACCTTTAGGTTGAATCTTTCCAAGTTTAGCTTTGGGTTTTATAACCTTGCAAAAAAATAAACTTACAAAAAAAAAAATGCCGAAAAACTTACATGATAAAAGTAATACGATTCCAAGGACAACATGTCCTTTCTTTTTCATTTTACCCAAAGCATGAATGAGAGACAAAAAGACTCCAAAGACGATTCCAACAACGCCAAGAATTACAAACGCTCTTGTTGCGTTTATGTAGTCCGGAACTGGAAAAAATATATACAATTCGATAAATAAAGTAATAAGAGGTCAAATTTTTCAGATCTATATCTTAAAATACACGTTATTATCATACCGTCTGTCATACTCGTTTAGTTCATTTTAGCAATCAAATATGGACGTTTTTAATCTTGTATGAAAAACTAGACGGAAATTTCGCATCATATAGTTGCATAGCCAATTTACCACAATTTCGGAGAATAAAACACATTAATTTTAGTTGCATATATAAATTTGTGTTATATTTCTGCATATTGTAGAATTTTACATCTTTCACATTAAACTTCGCTTTTTTCTAGCTGGAAATGATTTTGTACTTTAGTTTGAATATCAATGGTTTTCTAACTGATTCTGGTGACAATAAATCGTTTTAGAGCACAAAAATCGTGAACCGTAACGATTTGTAAATAGAACATCGCGTGTTCTTGAGCGTGCATATATGCAAAGACGCTGCATGTTTTTATTCCAATAACAACTAAGGTCACTGATGCTATTCATTGCTTGAAACAGAAGATACATAAATGGGTGATGCGGATAAATAGGAGAAATGGGTAAGTTGGATACATGGCATTCTGTATGAGAATGGCTGTAATAACTACTGCAATATAATCTGATTTCAAGCCGTGAAGCACACGACATCAAGTGAATCCAATATGCAATGGGAAATGTATTATACAGTCTGGTGTTTCAGTGAACCGACGTCAATTAAACTTGTACCGATAGCAAAATAGTATAGTATAACAAAAATATACTGCAATTTTAGTCTGGAGTTGTTTTACCCTTCTACAACGTCAAAAGCGCCTTATACTTCTATATCGCACACACACATCCGTCTACAACATTAATCAATTGTTTCTGTTTTGATACAATTATTCAATAATACCTAATGCAATTTTTTTTAGAGATATGTAGGGTGTCTCGAAAGTAGGTTGTTAACCCTTTCACTACCATTATATGTCAGAATAGAAACTTGCCATTCGTGTATAGCTGACAATCTTCTTTACTTGATCGAATTTTGCAACTTTCAAAGATACCGTACTCTGTACCGGCAGACATTGAAAGTTTCCATGACGGGGTTGCTAGAGAAATAGCGCTTAGAAGTGTTGCAGCGACGCATAGTAGGAACGTTATACATTGTAATAAGTGATAACTCTCAAAGTCCACAGCGAACATTTTGACAGGTAAAATATGACTCAATCTACATTCTCACACCCTCTACGATAATTTCCGCATGCCTGAACAATGAACAGGAATCTGAATAAGTGGTAAACAATTTTCTTGCAAGATGCTTTTCTCGGTGATCAATCAACCATTCCAGAAGGAAGGCATGTTAATTTGACTTAGAGGACTTGTTAATCTCTGGCGCCATAGTGCGAAATCAAATGTGAGGGTGTTGTTTAATTTTCCTGATCGTATTTAACGGACTCTCTTATTGCAGTATTACGTATGCGTAGGTATTGGTTAATTAAGTTGGAAAGTCAATATGACAAGGAAGACATCAAACGAATAATTAAAAAATAAAAATCTTGAGAAGCAGAGAGTCATGTTACGGTTCAGTGATGCAATGTCTTTGTTGTCGAAAGGTTATCAATGATTATCAAAGCTTTAAGCGTATTCAATTTAATTGCTTTCAGCAGTGTGATGTCCAAGTTAGTAGATGATTAAAGTGTTATATCTTTGTAAATTTTATCCGTACCATTCAAACTATAGTAGTTCTTTACCTAGACCTGGCTGCGTATACAATGCCCTTTCCAGAGCAATAGACGTACAAATACGTCATATAAAAATCAGTTTTGAAGCTATGTTGAGTGCAGTAGCTCTCTCTAATGGCGGCTTAAAATGCAAATCCTATACAATGAGTAATTCTGATAATACTAGGGATTTAAGGATTTGAGGTGTTGTTCCAAACAGTGCTATAACAAAACTGTAACTCTTGAACTTTGATAACTGTTTACCTTTTGGACTTAATTTTCCCAATAAATATATTAATAATAATAATTAATATCAAATGAAAAACTTGCCTTCTGATCGACTCGCGCAAGTTGTTACACTAAGCACTGTGATGCATCCCCGGAACAGTCCTAACTCTGTTCCAGAAGATGATAAAATAATAGTTCTACGCCAGGCGACCGTAATGGTTGCTGTGATTGATAAAACAGCAGCTGCACAAGCTAGAATTCCTGCCGCCAGTGCCAGAATTGCAAATGTCTTCATGCTTGCGGTGATCAAATAGAGGTAGAAGATTAGTCAGCTGATATGTTACAAGAAAGAAATCATTTAAATGCAAGAATAGTTGCTGGTTAGTAATGTCGTGAAACGTAAAATTAGAGGTGCTTATAAAGTTTGATGGCATATACAATCGTTTAATTGCTTCAGTCAAGAATCGGCTCATATATAAAAATATAAAATTCGATAAAACTCCTCGTTATGTTAAATTAGGAGAATAAAAAATTTCAAACAAACGTAATTTAGTTGATGTAAAATGTAATAAATTTCTCTTGTAAAAAAACAACAATAGAAGCTGAATTCTGATTAATTTCCTTTTTATTGAGGTATCACATACATACTAGCAAACATGCAAACGATAATAAATACAAAGATTCTGACTTCATCAGCATCAGTGACGTAATCAGCATCCTATATAATTTGTAAATATCAATCCAGAATAAGCTATTGGAATTCCATAAATAAAACTTAAATTCATGCGGTCAAATATATTTAGATATCTTGCAACTATAACTCTCATATTCCACAAATAAATATTTATACTAGTTATGTACAGTTTAGCCGAAGCATTCGAACGAATATCGCAATGCAACGCAACTTTATAGTGAAGAAAAAACATAGTTATGTTCAAACGACGACACTTCATAAATTGTCCTGGAATAGATGAGAGAAAAAACTAAATACAATAAAAAATATCCATGAGTGCTCCAAATTGCAACATCTGAATATTATTTTTAAAATAAACATAAAGCACTCCGCCAAGTTAAAATTACCGAATTTAAATCTAGCGGGGCCATTGGCAGGAATTTCGAAAAGGGTCTCTAGAAAGACCTCCCAATTTGTCAATATCTTAAGAAAAGCATACACATAACAGAATAGAACATAGTTTTACTGTTGACTAAAACCTTCCTGATTTGTCTCAATATGGTCACATCAATTCTGTCACTGTTATGCCATGCAATTTCAAGATTTTCTGTCATTTTGACTTAACTGAGCTTTTGTATCGTTCTATTTTATACACTCAACCAATTCTCTTTGAGAAGCAGTCGCCAACTGTATATTATAAATACCTAATTCTAATCAATACCGGTATGATGTATTTCACATGACTTGAACATTTTGTGAAATGAAGTTAGTAATATTTTAAGCGCTTATGAATTTCTCGTTGTCTTTAAAATACTCGAGTGAATATTGTGATAAAAATTTTGAAGAACTTTAGAAGATATCAATTTGTATACAATAACGAAGGCGCAATATATCACACATTTGAGTGCTCAAACAGAATTTACCCATTTTAACTCCTCAGATATCTTTCTATGCCTATTAGATTAGCATTTGAGTTAACATTTCCCTCAACATTTGGTTAGTTTCGGGTCGCTGGAAATGAATTAAAGACTTATTTTTTGTTTTATTATGTTCACCACACAGAAAATTAACTGACTCAATTTCTTTAATAATATCTGGTCTTCCAATAAAAGCATAAAGAATATAGCTATCTTTTCATCATCTCTTACGGCTCACCGAACACAACCAATAGAGTCATACCCTATAATTGTTTCTGCCTGAGCATTTAGAGGTAAATTATCTGAGATAGCCAATGATGCGCATCATCCCTCTTTTATGTCTTTGTAGACCATGTCATCGCAGTAATTCTAAGCATCTAAATGTAGTCCTAACAACTGAAAAAATAAACGCTTTCATGATTCATTTGCGTAACCGCAGTCTTCATGCTTTTGGATAAATTGGATATCAGAAGCAACGCCACGTATTGTTCGGATTGCCTTATAAAATCACACATATATATCGATGAAAAGCTTACCACGTTATACATTCTTATCCGATCTACATCGTCAATTGGTCTTGTGATATCTTAGTCAGATATCTAAATCATGTGACGAGAAAAATGTCTTTTGCCAGCAAAAATTAGTCAGATGCGCAATGCACACACACTATTGATCAGACACGGGCGAGGTATACAAGCGAATGCGCATTTCAGCTGTGTTGCAAAAAATTGTTGACGTCTTTAATTCGTGGTAAAAACAACTCTCAGTATCGCCTTGCGTAACGCTTTTTGACCCTACACCAGTGCTGTATGCTTTTTTGTGATTTAACGTTGCCTAGCCATCTCGCGAATTCCATATTTTTGAACAAGATGGCTTCATGCTGCCAAACCAAAAGTTTCATTCCCAATTGTTGTGGAACATAATGACAACGAATATGATATTTCTGGGGAGTATATATAAATAATACATAAATACCAAAATATATTGTACAGGTAATAGTCTCATTACCGGAAACTTAGTCATTGCGGGTATTCAATTAATTGCACTCTCACCAAGTTTCTAAGTGATTTCGGTTTCGATTCATCCGCTCTTACCCCAAAGCGACCGACGACTTATCGATCTTTTTTTAGTTTCTAATACACCGATATTAAAACGTTTAATACATTTAAAACAGGTATCTTTTTTTTTATTCAGGTTTTCATAGAATAAAACTATTGCAATAAATAATATTCATCAATAACAGTGATTCATCATAATAAATATACACATTGCATTAGTACAATGATTGTATTGCAAGAATTCTCAAATTTTTGTTATGTTGAGCAATTTTTCTCTTTTTCAATGCTAATTCTTTTTCGTTCTCTCAATTAATTTCAAAAAGTGTATAAACAATGGCCTTCTTTTACCAATTTTACAATTATAAAAATAAAATAGCCCTGCAAGTAGGACGCAATTATAAATCTGGTCAAAAAAATTTCTACAATAGCCTATTAAACATTCCATCTTGGTGAAGGAGAAATTAATACCACTTTTCGTAAACACCCACTGGTTCAACTGTTCTCAGAATATTGATGAATAATAACATTCAAAAAAAGATGATTGTTGTTCTCAACAGATACATTTCAAAAATCACATAAATTTGAAGGCACTTTAAAGCCATATAAAACATAATTTAGGACAATTGCCCTGTGAAATAGTTTAATGTGGAAGGACCGAAGTTTTGTCTCAATGGTGCAAAATAAACATTAGAATAGCATTTATTCCAATTAATATTGGAATGTGCATTTAAATCAATAGTTCATTTTTTTTCTACTTTTATTGGTGGGATAAACTGTTTTTCGTTCAACTGACGATATATTTCTTTGTTTCTATTTTGCACAATATCACCTTTAAAAGAGTCTACCTCCAAATAATGAAAAGTCACATTACATATATTTTCTAACCAATCATCTGGAATACAACCTATAAGTTTATAGTATTCGGTGTATTCAGATGCACTGTATTCAATGTCATATTTTTCACACAATTCAATATAAGTAAACAAACGAGAATATCGGTCGAAGACTTATCGATCGAAGGTTAGGAGATCCCCCAAAACAGCGCTATTACTCCATAGTGACACCGTGTGTCCCATCACCACTTAATTAATACCTCGCTAATTATACGGCATAATTCATCGAAAATCAATAGGCTTCTGATCCGAGCTATGATGAACGCACATGCGAAATTTGGAGCAGATTCAACCTCGCTTTCGTGAGATATCGCGTGCATCTAACAGACAGACAGGCAAACAAACAAACAGACAAATACCTATCAACATACTTACCGATCTCTCGATAAGTAATCATTGCCATTAACTAAATGTTTAAACAGTTCAACACCTTCATTATACCATGACTGTATAAAGAATGTCTTCCTTATGATTTACATGACTTATAGATCTAGCGGCGTGTATTAATTGATAACTCGCTAGTTATACGACATAATTCATCCAAAATCAATAGGCTTCTGGTCCGAGATATGATGAATGCAGATTCAACCTCGCTTTCGTGAGATATCGCGTAACGTACGAAAGTGTCTAACAGACAAACAAAACAGACGAACAAAAAAATCAAGATCGATAAGTAATAAGTTATAGGTGACGTAACAATTGAAATTTGTGCAGCCATCTATCACTTTATCACGCAGACAAATTTTAAGGAATGACTGTAAACATCGGCGCATTTCCATAGTTTTGTGTACTATATGCCATTTTTTGTCAGGTTGCAATAGACTAGCTTATACTTAGCTATCGATGTTGTTAATGGCAAAATGATGGTTGTGAACAATGAACATACGCGCCAGTTTGTAAAAACTGGGGTCAAGGTGGGACAGAATTTGCTGGACTATGTCTAAAAGTATAAGGTTATTTTGGCCATAATCAGCATGGCAGGTGATGAAATAAAAGGATACAAATACAATGGGTAAAATGTGATTATAGAATTTATTGATCCAATAAAACAACGGAGATATTTTGATGTTCTTGGGGAGGAAATGTGACTTTGCATTTGGTGTAGTTTCAGCAATATCGTTATTTAGTATTATTTATAGTACTAATTAATCAATACTAGTACTATTAGTATAATATTACTCACTTGAAAATATTTGGGAAATATTCAATTCATCCCAGCCGTTTAAGGATTGTCGAAATATAATCCACATTTCCAAAGTAAGAAACAGAAGTGAGCAATGTAAAAAGTCTATTGATGCCAAATGGAAATTTTTTTGAACATCGACTTCTTCTTAGCTATTAGTATTTTTGCGCGGCACCTTGCTAAATGTTTAGAATGAAAATGGGAGTTTTGAACATGTAAACCAGTTTGTAAGCGCCAAACGCAACACCCATAAGATATTACGCAATTGTATATTTCCCATGTCCATTTTGAAGTAGCCTAATCCCGTGAAATTAGAACTCTTATTCCTTGTCTGAACTCAATGTCTATAAATGAAAAAAAAAAATCGTGCTCACACCTTTGATAATCAATATATTACAATATCTACCCCTAAGTACCATACTGCCCTAATTTAATTATATTTTACTTTTAATACATTCAATAATAAATGTAATCTGGACTATAACTTGACTTTTATTTGATGGATGAAGTGGTCTACAACCTTCCTGCCGGTCCGCCAAATATATTCCAATACTAAACCCCATTGCTAAATGCAAAGCATTAATGGCCTGCCCATTTATTTTGTGAATTTTAACTTCTATTGATGCGTAAACCAAACTTCGCCACCAGAGGTCCTACGCCCATTTCAAGCCCTTAACGAATGGATGAGGACTACATTGCCACGGGTTTGAATATTGCTTAAAAAAGAATATCCTGAGCTCATTGACTAGCCATTAAATTACTGCTGTTTTTGTAAAACTTGCCTATGGGATAAAAGCTTTTCATCGTTATCTTGCATCGAAACCAAACATAGGTTCGCACCGGTCCATAAACTAAAAACCGTTTTCACTACTGGTGTCTAGATAAATAAACGTAAAGAAAACTAAAGAGCACACATACTAGGGGACAATCCAGTCAATGCTGAAATTGTAAACCCGTGTAGCCTATAAACTAACAAATTAAATTGCCAACTATTATTCTGCTATATTCTGTCAAATAATTTTTTTTAATATGTGATTTATCTGAAGTATCTCGCGTTTTCCTACTTTAATATATCACTGTGGTTGTGTGTGTGATTTATTTAATACTTTCAGCTACCACTTCTTTTAGCAAAACCCTCCAACTTAAGGTATGTTCCTAAAGTTTTGCTGCTCTCCTGATTCTATAATCAATTCATGTTTATATCTATTATTTTGTTGTCTGTAATGCTGATTATGGAGCCTAAATATACTTATAACCAAAGTGACTATAGTCACTTTGCTCATAACCATATGTGAACGCCTGCCTGACTCTGAGCAAAATGTGTATCCGAGCCGTTTGAAAAAATTCAGTGTTGCCGGGTACACTACCGTTCTTCGCATAATAAAGTCGTCTTACTAACTTTCCTTTCCAGGGTGGACTCAATATGATAATCATATTTCAAATTTCTTCTACATTGAATCATAGTTTATCATAACAGATAATACCACGTTTTTCAAAATGCGAATTTTACATGCAATCAATGACATTAAACAACATGATAGGCAACTCTGACGTCACTCCATAAGACTACAGGCAAAACATTGTATTTCATGATACGCTCCAATGCACATATTTCTCGTCGCCTTTCGCGTCCGTTTTCCGCTCGCTTTTGCTACTCGGCGTCTTTTTTACGTGTAGTACCTGCCTTTTTGCGCCTGTAACGAAACAAAATAATCTCTATATCTAAGAAGTTTTGCTTACTTGGAAAGCTGGAATAACAGGCAAGCTGTAAAGAGCAATTCTGGACATCATAGACTTTTTTTTTTATCAGAGAAGATTACAAACGCGATAGCGGAAAGATTTGTGTGGAACATTTTGCAGATAATGACAAAGTTCAAAGTTAGTAATTTTAATGTTTGCGCTTAATCATTGAAATTTCATTTAAAGAGGGTGTCATACAAAACTGTGCTGCGATACAATTCCATAACACAAAGTTTGCACCTATCGAACTTGCTTTTGTAGGTGAATTTATTAGACATATTACACATTCAGTTAATCGTAGGTAACATTGCTGGTACATAATGCATCGTAGATAGGTTTGTTTAAATTTAGGAATTTAGCTCATAGCCCACTAATTAATATTATCTTCTATGCAGGAGGTTGCAGGGCTGAATTCAACTTGCAGCCTTACCGATCACCTGACGATGCTCATTTAGTTTGGCTCGAGCAAGTCTTCTTGAAATGCTTGTGTGGATGGAAACTACCTATATTTTTTGCCTTCCTCCGATTTTAGACAAATTTATTCTGAGGGATTTCGCATATAATTCTCACTGATTGTTGGCTGTTTATAATTCCTATTGATTGTGAATTCTGATTATAACAATGAGTTGAAAATTTTTTTACCTAATTTACTGGCACCTTTTTCTTGTCAATACTCCAAGCTGAGGTAATAAAACTGACAATACATTTATGTCATCTGGAAGCAAATATGCACACTAATTAATAGTTTGGCACATTGAGATAATACATCATGACAGAAAATACAAGTTAAAGATATGTATGACCATCACATGGTAATTAAAATTAATAAAAATTAATAGGGGCTGTGGAGTATGGAAAGTTCAAGACAAAGAAAAGAACAAATGTTCATAGCTCATGAACTCTCAATTTTGCCTCCATTGCTTTGTGAAGGCCAATATATTTCGAGTGGCTGAATTGGTTTACCTTTATGATAGCAACGATTTTGTATTTAATATAGCGAGATTATTTCAATTTAATTGAAGTGATATAATTTCCCAAAGCAATGCTTGAATCGTCTAGAATAGATCAGTGGTGTCAAACTCATGGGTTTTCGAGAGCCGCATTGCATTTTGAAAATTGTAAAAAGAGCCGCAAACAGTTTTTGATAATATATACTCAAAAGATATTTTTAAGATAGTTTTAGTTTGTGACATATATTGTGATGCAACTAAACAGTTGGATTAAGTTTTATTATTTTCTTCAATTTCAAATGCAATTACATATTAATATTTGCATTCCACTATTATTGCAACATTTGCAAGTTACAGTATTTATTATAAAAAATCGTAAAATTCTATGTACAACCATCAAAATCATTTTTGAACAAGCTTTGAATAAGGAAAGAATAATACATACACTAAAAATAACTTAATCTAAATATATGAACCTAAAATTAACAAAAATACTACAGTATAAACTCAATGTTTTAATAATTACATTTGTCCTGGCGTTTGGCATCTTTTTTGTGTCAGCAGCATACTAAGGCCAGTCTGAAATGATTTTATAGTACCAACTCTAACTAACGAGGCCACATGATCATGGGTTTATCTGGATCTTTACGAATGTTTAATTAATTCCAGTAATGCAAAAAAGTTACTTTTATCATTTCATGTATAGATCAGTAAAAAAACAAATGACAGATTTTTTCGACAAGACATTTCGCACTACATTGCGTGGCATAGGATTGCTTGAATTATTATTGATATTGATTTTTAGTAACTAAGTCGTTGTATAATTATATTAATATACAAACACATGGAAATTTTCTGTTCGAAGTTGGTCTTCGAATTTGTCATATTGACTGCTGAGCTTATTGTGTTTTTTGATTGTATTGATGGAAATATGACAAATTAAACAATGTGCTTCAGATTTTTGTGAAGAGCAGAAATGTTACAACTCCCATTTTCTTCGAAAATGCCACCTTCTTCATGTACTTTGCGTTTAATTTAATTACTCAAGTGTTTTATTCAAGTATTCTTTTGCTAGCTTGATGTGTATTCTTAATTGGGTCAAAATGTGGACAAAAAAAATTAATATTCCAAAACTACTTTCAGTAAATTGTTTTCTGTGTGAATAATCAATTTCACTTTAGAAGGTTTGAAAAATCTATTACATTTGATAAAAAAAAACTTCCAAAATACTATTACAATTATTGTTAAGCGTTCGATGGCCGCACTGGAAGTTCTCTGGGGCCGCGAGTTTGAGATCCCTGGTCTAGATTGAAGTTGTTCAAAATATATATGATAGTATTTTATCATGAATGATGATTATACCCCTTCCGGAATTTCTTCTATAGTACTACCAAAAGTTGATGAACCAAATATAACACAGGTGCAGTGAGGTACCCGTAATCATTTCCAAAGCTGTTTTAAGTATGTCTGGCGTGTTTTGTGCCTTTTTACAAATAAGACCGCTTATGCAATCTTACGCTTTGGAATTTTTAGTTATTTTCCTCAAGCCCTGCAGGATGTGGGGGCCATACACAACTCTACCGGAGGGTCAAATGTCTTTGCATGCCTCCATAGGTTGTTTTTCTATTGCAATTTTCTATTTTCAATTGCATTATATTTCTTGGAATCACACTGTCACTGATATGTCGCCAGACTTCTGATATCTCCCCGTCTGCTATAGTTGTCCTGTGAATAAATAATAGGAAATTGAGATTAGACGAATAGTTGAAAGTTTTGCTTTATGTCGGCTTAATTTCTTGATTGATATACTTACTATTTCTGCTATTGCCTCTTGTGCTGCAAGAGTCTCACAATGCTTAGACAGGTTTGTCCACAACTTTCACATCTGAGGAAAGAGAGGAGATTTATTAATTTTCGTTAAGAATAAATAAAGCAGTCTATATGATTCAGAATGGAAAAGCTAATAAATCCAATATCTCATGTTTTATTTAAAAAATATTTAACTGAATTTGGTATATAAACCAACTAATAAAAGGGTTTAGTCAGAAAATTACAAGCATTCGTGGCTCCAAATACTTGAGAAATCAGACTATACAATATAGACCGGTATGAGTGAAATGTTAGGTGAACTTGTTAACACTTTGATTCAATACGCAAATAAAAGTGAATGCGTAATAGTATGTTACAATGAGCAGCAATCAACAATGAGTATATATCCTCCCTGATTAAAAAAATCTAACTGGAGGTGCATGAACTATTTGAAACCATAAGGGGTAAGTAAATATGTAATTTCGGCAAATGGGCAACTACGTACCGTACTGAATTAATAACTTAGTAGTATTTGACAAAGGCTGGCTTTCCCACATGTACTTAACAGTGCGATGCCCGGGTGTGATATACAACAATAGTATTCACCTTACCTTTTACCGATTTCTTTTTACCCCAACTTTCAAAAATATCATTAAAATCGACAACAACTGTCAAAGCAGGCACGAACACCATTCGTGCTACGCCTTGAGAGCAGCACACATCCGCTCGTTTTCGTCTCGTCAAGTATGTGCATTGGAGCGTGCTATCGAATACGATCTTCGGACAAAAATGCCGGAGTTGCGCATCATGTTGTTTAATGTCATTGATGCAATCATAACAAAACTTCGTGATATTCGTGAGTCAAAAAACAGGAAAAGGTTGAACGAAAGTGATCGTCCCATTGCCCTATCAATTGGGTGCGGACAGTTAAAAATAACTACCGGTATGGGTATGATTGTATTGCTAACAGCGGTGTTCCGATACCGCATTCATTTGCCCGGTTGTTGAGTTCATCGCAATTACTGAGTGCCGAATTTGGTGGTGGTTTGAGCAATGTACCGGTAGTCGGATTGCAGCATTGAGCTGCATTCATCGTCCAGCTCTACACTACACAGATATCGACATGAAAGGTAGGTAACAAAACAGGCGCACAATATCCATATCGCAATAGAACAGGTAAACACAGTTCCATAATTAGCACCGTACCATAAGCGTACCGCATCTTCGAATCGTAACTCATTCTTTACAACTCTATGTAAATACCGGTACGTGATATTTAGTTCTAATATTTCAATTCCAAATACTGGAATGTATACCGTACGGTTTAGACTAGTCTGGTAACGTTTATTCTGTAGTAGTCCACTCTGCAAATGCCAAAACAGCAAAATCAGAAAATACGGTACCGGTACCACAAGTAGCATCATTAAATTCTGAAAACTGACAACCGTTCCGTACCCTAATTTCTCCACATGCTGACATGAAATACATAATTAGCCTACACAATATTCCGTATCGTACTGATATATGATAATTATTAAATTAAAACATCTATGCACTTGATTTTGTGGTTGTAGATTTCAAAACTTGCACCTACTACCGTAATATTTGTTCATCTTGTAGACTACAGTATTTCTGTATTTTTCAGGGTTTCCCAAACTTTTTTAAGCTGCGGACCCCTGTTTATTAATCTTAGTTTTGACGGACGGTCACGGACCCCCATCATATGTCGTATCAATTTCTGTGCGTAACTAACGAGGAAGAATAATGTTTCATCAACACAAAGGCCATTAATGTGATAATGCTGTAATGACTGAATGAGGTTGCTTTTCACTGCACAATTCATCAATTCTCGGAGCTTGTAGGTCCGACTCTCAGACTCTACCGTTAGCGCCGACCTGAATTTTTTTATCATATCGGTGAGCTGAAATTGCTGCCTAACACATGATGTAGGTCATTTCAAGAGACAATAAAATTGCAATTACCTTTTCTGACAACAATGGATATTTGATTGAAATCGATCATTTAAAGATCGCCTAGACAGACTCTTTTCATATGTTGCGGACCCATGTGCAGTCATCACATTCACATACCCCCAGGGGTCCACGGGCCCCAGTTTGGAATACCCTGATGTAGTTGATTAATTAATTTGATTTTTATACTAAGATAATTAAATTCTCTCTCATTATAGGCTACTATGTTATTTCTACTACTACTTGTCAGTTTTCATGAATATGAGGATGCTATTATATTAATATATTCAGACATGTTTGATTGTTTTTTTCGATTTGACAATGCTGCAATGTGCTTTTGCAATATGATCATTTGAGTTATCAGTGCATAACTATTTTTGCAGCTGATGAGTTTGTTCATTGATTCAATCTAGATAAATTCTGTATTCTTTGCAGAACCAGATCATAATTGATAATAGTTCACATACCACAAACCTTAATTTTTTTTAATTTAAAATTGGTGTAGAATTTGAAACTTAGTTTAAATTTTGATATTTTTGTCAAAATGCTGACTTCTGTTAAATCTGTATTCCAAAGTCTTCGGTCACATCGAGCAACAATAGCATTATGTCAAAGATGTTTGACGACATCGAGTTCTGAACCTGCTATTGATCCCGTCACATATGATAAAAGAGAAGATGTGACCATTATCGGACTCAACCGTCCTCACTGTAAAAATGCCATGAACTCTATTATGGCCCAGCAGTTGAACATTGTTTTGAAGTCATTTGAAGAAGATCATTCTAGTAATGTTGCTATTTTACATGGAAATGGTACAGACTTCTGTGCAGGATATGACCTAAAAGAAGCGTCTCAAGGAGGGTTAAGTGAAGAAGCAAAAGAAGTGTTGAAAGAGCATGGACCTATGGGAATAACACGTGAAGCATTCAAGAAGCCTGTTATTGCTGCTTTGAGTGGTTATGTCATTGGTGGTGGACTGGAACTAGCATTAGCATGTGATCTTCGAATAGCATCTAGTGATACCATCCTCGGTGGTTTTAACAGAAAGCATGGTGTCCCATTCATAGATGGATGCACAGTTCGGCTACCTGCATTGATTGGTTTATCTCGAGCTCTCGATCTTATACTCACTGGTCGACCAGTTGATGCCAATGAAGCATTTTCAATGGGACTTGTTAATAGGATCTCAGATGGTGATTTAATTAATGAAGCTTTTAGGCTTGCCAAGCAAATTTCTGATCATCCACAGTTTTGTCTTCTCACTGATAGGCATAATACCTATTATTCAACTTACAATGCAAAATCACTCCAAGATGCCCTGAATCATGAATTTGATAATGGCTGGAAAGTTGTCAATGTGGAGAGTGTTAAAGGAGCTCAAAAATTTGTTAATAGGAAAAGATGAATAACACTTCAAATAACATGGGATTTATTGGTTTTGAAAAATTGTCTTCTTTATACCTAAGCATATACTGAAAGTTCAAATTTATTATATCTGTTAGTTATTTTTCACTACGGTTTAATACTATTGCTTCAATTTCCACTTCAACATTAATTATGGTTGGAATACTTTAATATCGAGCTGTAGTAAGTAGTCACATATCTCATACATAGAAATGTTTATAAATAACCAAATAATACTTGATTTTGTGAATATTTCAATGTCATCATTTTCATAACATATAGTACGTAACTCAAAAAATTGCAAATTTTTTTTGATGTAGGAAGACCATGAACATTTGCCCAACCACTAATATTCTAAAACCAATGAAGAGTATTTTGTTCCTATACTCAGTGAATATTTTATAACAAAGAACTTCAAAATTTTGTACAGTTTCACTGTGGTCAATGAACTCTGATCACTGGATATTAATTATACTAAATTTTGAAAAGTTGCCGAAACAATATCAATTTCCTGAGATTACATATTTTTGCTGACAATTTACACTAAGCTACTCGTTGAATGAAGGGTAATCTAATCGCCTATCAATATAGTTCTTATAAGTTTCATTTCTGTATTTATTTTTGATTTGAGTGTAGAGATAAATCATCAAGCCATGCCATATTTTTGTTGCAGTAAAGTCAATGTGCTATTAAAAAAGTTGCAATAAAAAATTATTTGTTGTTTGAGCTCAATTCATGTTTTGAGTGCAGGTGTGTTCCCACATGAGGTAAATCGCTTTTGGTGGCCCTTAAGTCAGCAGTTAGTTATGGTACCTTGGCATCAAAATTCTTAAGTCAAAAAATTGTTAGAAATTTTCCTCTATTTAGTTAAGGGGTCAGCCACAAAAAGAATTGTGGAGGTTGATACTGTAAATGAATTCGATTTATGATGTCATCTCCGTGATAAGTGAGATATTAATAAAGAATTGTCATTTGTGGCAGCACCGAATGAATGTATCTTAAAAAATATCATAACAAAATAGTTATTCTTGGACGTTGGAAAACCATCAATAGTGATTGTCGAGTTCGCGCGCGGAAAACAAGAATGTATAACTGTTGAATGTAATTCAATAAGAGAGGCGTAAAAGGAGAAATGTGTTATATACATGCTAATTTAAGACTTTCTGTTCAAACTGCAGACTAATCATTTTCATTAATACAAATCACGGCGCATTGAAAAGCAAAATCGAATTTAGAGTTACGAGTTAGAAATCACCTCCGTCTCTTGCTAACAGACAAAAACGATAAATGTGAGAAATCTTTGAGTTATGGTGTGTTTTGTGCGCGCCAACACTGCTTTTCGCATTTAAAAAGGTCAAAGCAGATAAAGTAAGACAGGTAAATAATGTATTCTATGAAAATTTTCAGAGGTTTTAGAAAAAATTATTATTTTGACCATATAGAAATGCCATTATTGCCGATTTTTTCAATAATTAATTCAACTCAAAACAACACTTGAGCGCGTCAATTATAACGATGCATGTAAATACTTATACTGAATAACAATAAAAAGTCAGCTCGATTAACATTAAATTACCACGAGTATAGTTTCACATTTCATGCACCTTTTATCGATGCAACTTGCTAGCTTGTTTTTGTGCATATAAATATTATAAACGATTGTAACGCCCATGACATCCGCGAGATCTACTTTTTACTCAAAATTAATTTTCACGATTTTTATCGTTTTGTTTCTCACTGAAAATTAGCTCATTTATGGAACAATAAAAAGCGAACAGCGCGACATGGTTACCGCTGATTACGCGACGATTTGCAATTATATACGGTACTTGACATAGGACGTGCTAAATATTCGCCAAACGACGTCTGGCGAAGCGAGGCGAGCTACACGTGTAGCGAATGTGCATTGTGTAACTATGGATTATAATGTATTTGACCTTTTCATTTTAGTGTTTGTTCCATTTCACAAAATAGGTCATTTTATTGTCGCAACACTGATTACTGATTACATGTACTGCCTTTCTCGTATCGACCAATTTGATGACTTATCGTTCCGGCTTGCCGAGAGGGCAGCATAATATCGTGTTTTAATTCACTTCTGATTTACTGTGTTAAGAGTTAAGTGTGTTTCAATTTTATCTGTTTTCGGAATTTTGGATTGTGCATCTTTCAATAATATACAACAACGATTAGCATCGACACTGTGTGCTTATTATCGTCTGATGGAATCCAGATTGGAGTCACATTCCATAACGCGTGTCAAAACAATAACGCGGGAATCGAACTTAAATATATAGGGTTGATAGTCTTTATCCCTAAGACCCATCATCATCTCTTTCTCCCTATACACGAAACTCTGAAATTTATTCAACAGACTTTCGCTGACAATTTTGTGTTAACGCCTTACGGCATCGTGAATTGCACTTTCAGCGCACAATTTTAATTTCAACGTAACCCCTCGTTGGAAGAACCCTGGGTGAGGGCCGCCGTATGTATCCATGCATATGGAACAATTTCTTGGCTTACTATCCCCATATTGGAATGGTAGTAGAGTACCAGTATATTTTATCGATTTCCTCTGCTTGGTATGAATATAGAGGTTCTAGCGTCAGATTCTAGGCAGGTCTACTTAACTGAGAAAAGGACAGAGTCCATGAGCTAAATTTCGTACGTGGCAAAGTAAATTTCTTTTGACCTTGTCCTTGCTCGATAGCACAGTTGGTAAATGCATAGTGGTGGTGCTAGCGTCTGCAACAAATTCTGTAAAATATTTACTTCAAAACAATCAGAACGGATTGCATAATATAATATGGTGTCATTGTGAATGCATTACGAACATGACATTGCAGGACGAGTTCATCATAACAGCATTGCTCTTGTCAAAGCCGCAATGGCAACTCTGGCCCTGATGGAAGCCAAATTACGAAAGGCGCCAAAATATAAATAGTTTTGAAATAGTTTCATTCTTGTTTACATGACATTGAATGGGTGAGTGCAGTCGGGTTCGAGTTGGTGTTCTAGTGCAAAATAGGTGTCCGCATGTCAGTTTCATCAATGATTCATGCTCTAAGTCGAATATATATCTCTCAAGCGTGGGAAACATGAAGTTCGTATCAGACTCAACACGGTAAATAAATAGCACTCTGCTTATCGTCGGATGATTTTGTCCCTGAGTAAAGAGCAAAGTTCGGATCGACAATTGTGAAAGACAAACATACTTTATAACGCTCCCGAAGGCATGTCCCAAAACAATAAGTTGCATAATCTGCATTTTATTAGTCATAAATAGTATATATATCGAACGCCCGATCCTCGTCATTCATATTGCGCATGCATTAGATATTGAAGTGGAGATAGTAGACTTTCGATGCCCATTGGCTAGCTGTGACCTAGGGGCTCTAAAATAAGTGAGGATTGGTAATTTAATTCCCGTCAGATAGTTTACCACATATACTGTATTTAGATTTTTAACTTGTTTTGGCACCATTCATTTCGAAATAATTTTAGATATTTCATATTTATATTCGTGTGGCAACACACCACGCCTAGCCTACTTGGATATTAGAAATAGCCGTAAACGATCAGATTTTATTTGAAAGGCTCGAATGAAAGGATATAGCTAGGGATTTAAAAATTCTGCCGTACATAATCTCTTTTTAAGCCTTCTCTTTACTGCATACATAAACCAAACGCGGAGCCAAAATAATTGCGATGTAAATAATAATAATATATATATAAAATAAGTAGTATTTCATGGTGTAATATTCCTCATTTCTCTTTTTGTCTAAATCACAGGAATTACGAGCATATATTTTTATTAAAAGACAAAAACATTTATAAACTCAAATAATGAAGAAGACGATAATAGCATTAGCATTATTTGCTATGTTTGCAACTGTGAATAGCATATGTGAGTTGATTTGGAAACTTTATGTTTAACTATTTCTAATTGTAATGTTTGTGGTACGAATTTTCTTGTTCAACTTCAGCTCTCTCTACTCTTTTACTTTTCTGGAATGAAATAGCTTTTAATTGAAGCAAATCAAAATTATCGCATGTGCTTTTATAGCGAACTATCCTTAAAACATACGTAAAATCATGTGCATGGTGAACCAACCATGTGCAGTCGCATATATGACATTTGGAGTCTTTGGTTTGATTAGAGTCTAATAAATTAGCCTATCATTAGACTATTAAAGTAAAATTTGTAAGTGGTATTCTTAGCTGTGTGTAATTCTGATAGGCCAATTTTTAGGAAACGAAGCACAGTTTTTTAAGCCAGAATGGCTGAAAACAAACAAGCCACTCAGCAATTAGGGACACATTCATAAAATGTTCTGAATAACTTGAATTAGGTTAAATGTCTATATATATCTTTGTCAGCCACTAAATTTGTGAGGCTGATTTAATCTCAGCTAATTTTACCACCGTGGTGATTTTTGGCATGCTTGATCATGGTGGGTATTTTATCAAACAGCCTTTTGGGTAAACTTTCGTAAATCGTGAAAGTTCAGCTTTGAGTTTGTTTTGGAATGTTGTCTAATAGGGGCAAATATATCTGGTAAATCATATATTTTAATCACTACATAAATTTATGGCAATCTTGAAAAAAAAAACGCAATACATCGACGTGTGGACTAAATATTGATCCTGGAGCAACCAGTGATCTTGCTTTGTGTGCAAATATGTTACCTTGCATTGTGTTACATTGCATTGTTTTTTGGATACTTTATTTATATATGTTCAAATGTTTCTGAAGTTACTCGTCTTTTCACTGGAGAATGCGTGACGGAATGCGAGAATGTTGACACAACCCTTGGATGTCCTTCCTATGAGGCTATGTTGGAAAAGGAAGGCAGTAATCCAGGAGCGTTGTGCATCTTTTGTCTTTATAGAAATGGATGTGGTAGGTACATTGTTACACATTTTGTGCTTGATACGGACATCTATGATAGATTTATAGTAGCAGCATATTATGCTCTATAAAATGTTAACCCCTTTTTTTAAACAAATTTTTTTTATATCTATTTCAATCGGTTCAAATAGTCACCGAACTCAATTTTCAAATTGAAAAAGCATGGCTTTGGTAAACACTTTAAATTATGTATATAACATATGATTATAGGTTTTGATTTGGGATGCTACCTGGCGAAGTGGGATCTCTGCACCGATTGTGACATCGAAGTATTGGATGGAGCTGAAGAGTGCGTAAAATGCGTTAAAAAATGCGAAAAAAAGGTAAGAATGTTCTGTTAAGGTTAGTATGTATTCACATCTTGAAGTTTTCACTTTTATGGCCACTCTTCTACGGTATCCAAAGTGCCCGCAGACGAACTGTCAAAAATAAATCTCAAGACTTTGCGGAATCGCCATCAACTATTTCAAGTCTATTATTCTGACATTTTATTAATCGAGAGATAATAACTATAAATTATGCAGATGCAATATGATGTTCCTGGATGGTTTTTTACATGCTGGGAAAGGGGCCAATATTAGAGAAGCGTTTAGGATTCCTAATTGTCATTGAATATCCTAATTCGAAGAGCGCATATGGGCCAAATCTGATTTTGCGGCAGATTTACAAAATGTGTACGACAATCCATGGACAAAATATATTGAATATATTCTTATTATTCAGGTGTCTTCAGTCTAATTGAAAAATATAGCTTGTCATGGCCATACAAGACTCTGGATATACAAGATAATTATATCACCCCAGCGGATTGACTATGTATTAATTGAAAATTCTCCCTAAAAGTGACACCAGTTTGAGGCAAATTTGTAATTTTGTTTAACGTTTTCACTTTAGAGAGAAGAAGATGAAGAAAATGAACACTAAGAAGACAATTTATAATTCTTCTCGACTTGTCTATATCATGTAATCACTATCTGACAAATATGATCGATATATACCCATCATAACTTTCCTTTGCAATAATACAATAATTCATATTTAATTGCGGTAATTGTAATTGCTTTCCTGATTTTTGTTATGTTAATAATTTAGTTTGTCATAAATAAGTAATCGGGCATCATTTAAAGTGTTTTCGAATGCCACGTAAAATTTCATAGAGTTTCGGAATTTTTCAAGCATTTATTTCACGAATAAATATATTATGTCATTGTTACCAGAATCGAGTATGATCTTCAATCGAACTTTACTAACATGTTTTGAAATGTAATAAGCCTAATTATATCTTGTAAAGAAAACGTACATTTGTAGTTCAGCGATTCTTATTTTTCCTACAGTACAGATGTTTCGTTGCGTATTGGGCATTGACAATTTTCAACATCTTCGAAGTCACAAGTATTAGTATTTAAAACATGAGTTTTGATTGTTCAAAAAATCTGAGGAATTACTTAGGGCTGGAGTTCCCAAGCCATAGCATTTGGAACAGTAATGGTTTGTGCCTGACAAAATTGTGGATGGATATCCAGAAAAAACACGCATAACAAGACATAGAAACACAAATATCACAACATATCCAAATAATTGAAATTGGCTTCTTACATGAAGGACAATGTTCCAGAGAAGTCATTTTATAACAGTTATAAAATATCACCTACTTTGAAGACAGTTTGTTTATTCCAATTTTTGAAGATCATCAAGCTTTATTGTACAGTAATTGGGATTCTAGAAGCATCTTTGTGTTTTTCGTATGGTTGTTCCCATTTGTAGTCCAAAGTCGTTCATATTGATTGGTTTTCCTTGCCAAACGAGCATTATATATATAGTAGATTATTCCTAAAATCAGTTAATTTATCATTGATGTCCAGAAATTTCATTCCTGAGACTTCAATGCTCGAAATGTTGCATTTTTTTATCCAAAAACTCGTTCCTTTTATTTTTGTTTATGAAGCGAACTATGATAGAGGGAACCTTGTCTTGTCTCTCCACAAGGGTCTGTGAGAAAAAGAGATGTCCAGTCTCTCCATTTTTATATTGAGAAGCTGGCCCATTTTCATGCTGATGTCATCAGTGTTTTCTCCTTCACTGTACGGAATGCCGTGAAACTCCAAATTTTCTGGTCTTTTATATTGCGATAAATCCTCAAAATCTTTATCGAATCTACGTTGAAGTGACAAATACCAAATTTTGAAGAGTTTTATGTGAGGCCGATAATTTCTCAAGTTTGTTGTGTAGTTCCGCGGAGTAACTTTTTTTAATTTAGAACTCCGCATTTATGAAGTCCTGGCTGGCTTGCACCATTTCAACATTATGTTGTAGGAATGTAGGGTATTATTTGTATCCTGAATGCCACTCACTTCTTCCATAAGTTTATCAACGCACCCATCAGATCTCCACTGTGCTTGAACATAACGTCGAGTCGTTCTGACATTTGTTGGGTATTATTAAGGACAGGTTCATTGATTTGGGTAGATATCTTTTGGTCGTGTTCATTGATGGAGTCCTCCAAAAGATCTTTGATGGTGTCTTCTACCATAGCGTTAAACTTGAATTTCAAACTTTTTGGTATTCTTTTTTCCATTAAATCCAGGGTTTTCTTGAGTTCGTCAAATTTTCTATCCGTTTTATCAAATTATTGCTTAGTGAATTACGGTAATTATTTTAGGTTTAGGTGTATCTGCGAACCTTAATAAACAGCGACTCAACGCGGTAAATAAATAGCACACCGCTGATAATCGGATGATTTTATCCCTGAGCAAAGAATAAAGGTCAAATCGATAATTGTAAAGACAAACATACTTTATAACGCGTCCGAAAGAATGTCCCACAACAATTGGTTGCATAATCTGCATTTTATTAGTTATAAATAGAATATAGCAGACACCCGATAACCTTCGTCATCCATTAAGCATGCATTACGTATTGAAGTGAGTAGAATTTCGATGCCCATAAGCTAGCTGTGACCTCGGGGCTCAAAAATGAGTGAGAATTGTTAATTTAATTCCCGTCAGATAGTTTACCATATATATATATATATATTGATTGTTAGTTTTAACTTGTTTTGACACCATTCATTTCAGAATAATTTCAGATCCTTCACATTTGAATATATTCGTATTCAGGTACCGGTAATTAGTAAACACACCAGGCGTAGCCTACTTGGATATTAGAGATAGCCGTAAATATTATATTTCATTTGAAAGGCTCGATTGAAAGGATATAGTTAGGGACTTAAAAATTTTGTCGTACATACTCCCATTTTGAGCCTTATTTTTAATGCATACATAAAATAACCGCCGAGCCAAATCAATTGCGATGTCGCAAATATATATATATAAAATAAGTAGTAGTTTTTCATGGTTTAATATTCCCTGTTTCTCTTTTTTTCTAAGCACAGGAATTACGAGCTAATCTTTTTATCGAGAAACAAGATCCTTTATAAAAGCAAATAATGAAGAAGACTATAGCATTAGTATTATTTGCTATGTTTGCAACTGTGAATTGCATATGTGAGTTGCTGAATTGCTTATTTCTTTTATTATCAATTTTATTTATCGTTACCAACCACACTGTTGATTTGGGAACTTTATGTTTAAATATTTCTAATTGTAATCTTTGTGGTACGAGTTTTCATGTTTGACTTCAACTCTCTGTAGCAAATTATCCTCATAACTTACGTGAAATTATGTGCATGTTGAATCAACCATGCGAAGTGCGTATATGACATTTGTAGCCTTTGGTTCGATTGGCCTATCATTAGAGTATTTGACTATTACAGTAAAATTGTATGTAGTATTCTTAGCTGTTTGTCATTGTGGTAAGACCAATTTTTAGGGTCAATTAGCAATTAGGGACACCACCAATTTTCTTAATTTACTCCAGTATACCTCATCAATCCAACGGCTTTTCGACACATTTTACTCTGATATGCTCGAAGCATGATGATGTACGCTGGTCGAAAAGTACTGCTCCTGCTCGGAAAACGTTCCATAAGGTCAGCAAAAATAATCAGAATGAGTCCCTCGTCCAGACCCGAGCTTTGAAGAAAAACAGTCGTTCCAACAGCGGTAATGGGTGAGACTAGCCAAACTAGGAGTAGTTAAACATAAACCGGCCCGAGTTTAATAGACTAACGCATCGATCAAAATATTATGCCACTTTTTAAACATGTTTATTCAAGATAGTAGGAAAGGCGATGTAGAAAATAATATCGATAACATTTTTATCTCAACGTAATACATTTTCAGGCATGTGATCAAACTTTTAACCCATATAAAAAGTGATTAATCAAATTCCAACGAAAAGAATGATATTTCGGTAAAAACACAATATTTTAATAAAAGAGTAGCATATTTAATGGAGATCGTTGAGAAATCTTCCAGAGGCTATTTTTTACAACTCCTGCGAGAACAAAAAAAATGTTCTAAATACGGTAGCTTGATAATGATTCAGGTTAAATGTTTATATCTTTGTCAGCCACTAAACTTTTGAGGCTGATTTAATCTCAGCTAATTTTAACACCGTGGTGGTTTTTGGCATGCTTGATCATGGTAGGTATTTTATCAAACATCCTTCTGGGTGAGGCTTTATAAATCAGTCAGCTTTGAGTATGTTTTTAAATGTTGTGTAATATAAGCGGATATTTTGATACTCCTGAAGTATTTGAACTAAGATGGCGGGCACCGGAACGTAGTAATGTGTACCGGGTTAGGCCATAATTTAAGGTGCAAATACTACAGAAGTCATTTGGATAGTTCCCGAACTCGTAATAGAACTAAAATAAGGAAAATTTGAATAAAATTATGGCCTAACCCTGACTTGGTACGCATATTACCTTCGATGTCCGCCATCTTGGTTCACATACTTCGGCAGTAACTATATTTTTGGTAAATTATATCTTTTATTCATTACAATAAATGAATTTATAGCAATCTTGAAAAAGAATGCTATAAGTATGTATTATAAAAATATATCAAAAATTGCATTCGGCCCTCTGCTCGATTATCGATAACATGTAATGCGGCTCCAGGAGCCTGTGAGTTTGGCAGCAATACACCGACGTGTAGTCAGTCTAAGTATTGATCTTGGAGCAACCAGTGTTCTTGCTTTGCGTGCAAATATGTTACTTTGCATTTTTTAATACGTATAAATGTTCAAATGTGTTTCTGAAGTTCTCACGGGAAAATGCGTGATTCAATGCGAGAATGATGACCCAACCCTTGGATGTCCTCCCTTTCAGGATATGTTGAAGAAAGGAGGTTTTCCAGGATGGCGCTGCGTCTATTGTCTTTATGGAAATGGATGTGGTAGGTACATTGTGACACATTTTGATGTTGATATGGAAATCTATGATAGATTCATAGTAACAGCATATTATGCTCTATAAATTGTTAACTCCTTTTTCTAAACAAATTTTTGTTTTATCAATCGGTTAAAATAGTCACCGAACTCATATTGGAAAAACCATGGCTTTGGTAAACACTCTAAATTATGTATAGATCATATGATTATTTATTGAATTTTTTTGATAGCTGCATACATATGCTATGTCACGCATGCTACGACAGATAAACATTCGAAGATAACTCTTTATTGGGAAGGTAACTTGTGCAAAATAAATTTAAATATGACGCCAATAGGTCGTAATTTCGGATGCTTCCTGGCGAAGTGGGATCTCTGCGACTATTGTGATCCAATCGCATTGGTTGAAATTCCAAATTGCTTAGAATGAGTCAGAAAATGCGAAAAAAAGGTAAGAATGTTCTGTTATGGTTAGTATGTATTCACATCTTGAAGTTTTCACTTTTATGGCCACTCTTCTACGGTATCCAAAGTGCCCGCAGACGAACTGTCAAAAATAAATCTCAAGACTTTGCGGAATCGCCATCAACTATTTCAAGTCTATTATTCTGACATTTTATTAATCGAGAGATAATAACTATAAATTATGCAGATGCAATAGGATGTTCCTGGATAGTTTTTTACATGCTGGGAAAGGGGCCAATATTAGAGAAGCGTTTAGGATTTCTAATTGTCATTTAATATCCTAATTCGAAGAGCGCATATGGGCCAAATCTGATTTTGCGGCAGATTTACAAAATGTGTACGACAAACCATAGACAAAATATATTGAATATATTCTTATTATTCAGGTGTCTTCAGCCTAATTGAAAAATATAGCTTGTCGTGGCCATACAAGACGCTGGATATACAAGATAATTATATCACCCCAAATCGCTGATTGACTATGTATTACGGTAATTAAAAATTCTCCATAAAAAAGGAAAGCTAAAAGAAGCGTAAAAGTGACACCAGTTTAAGGCAAATATAATTTTGTTCAACTTTTTCACTTTAGAGAGAAGAAGATCAAGAAAATGAACACTAAGAAGACAATTTATAATTCTTCTCGACTTGTCTATATCATGTAATCACTATCTGACAAATATGATCGATATATACCCATCATAACTTTCCTTTGCAATAATACAATAATTCATATTTAATTGCGGTAATTGTAATTGCTTTCCTGATTTTTGTTATGTGAATAATTTAGTTTGTCATGAATAAGTAATCGGGCATCATTTAAAGTGTTTTTGAATGCCACGTAAAATTTCATGGAATTTCGGAATTTTTCAAGCATTTATTTCACGAATAAATATATTATGTCATTATTACCACAATCGAGTATGATCTTCAATCGAACTTTACTAACATGTTTTGAAATGTAATAAGCTTAATTATATCTTGTAAAGAACACGTACATTTGTAGTTCAGCGATTCTTATTTTTCCTACAGTACAGATGTTTCGTTGTGTATTGGGCAAGGACAATTTTCAACATTTTCGAAGTCACATGTATTAGTATTTAAAACACGAGTTTGATTGTTCAAAAAATCTGAGGAATTACTTGGGATTGGAGTTCTCAAGCCATAGCATTTGGAACAGTAATGGTTTGTGCCTGACAAAATTGTGGATGGATATCCAGAAAAAACACGCATAACAAGACATAGAAATACAAATATCACAACATATCCAAATATTTGAAATTGGCTTTTCACATGAAGGGCAATGTTCCAGAGAAGCCATTTTATAACAGTTATAAAATATCACCTACTTTGAAGACAGTTTGTCTATTCCAATTTTTGAGGATCATCAAGCTTTATTGTACAGTTATTGGAATTCTAGAAGCATCTTTGTGTTTTTAATATGGTTGTTCCCATTTGTAGTCCAAAGTCGTTCATATTGATTGGTTTTCCTTGCCAATCGAGCATTATATATATAGTAGATTATTCCTAAAATCAGTTAACGTTTCATTGATGTACAGAAATTTCATTCCTGAGACTTCAATGCTTGAAATGTTGCATTTTTTTATCCAAAAACTCGTTCCTTTTATTTCTCTTTATGAAGCGAACTATAATAGAGGGAACCTTGTCTTGTCTCTCCTCAAAGTCTGTGAGAAAAAGAGATGTCCAGTCTCTCCATTTTTATATTGAGAAGCTGGCCCATTTTCATGCTGATGTCATCAGTGTTTTCTCCTTCACTGTACGGAATGCCGTGAAATTCCAAATTTTCTGGTCTTTTATATTGCGATAAATGCTCAAAATCTTTATCGAATCTACGTTGAAATGACAATACCAAATTTTCAAGAGTTTTATGTGAGGCCGATAATTTCTCAAGTTTGTTGTGTAGTTCCGCGGAGTAACCTTTTTTTTAATTTAGAACTCCGCATTTATGAAGTCCTGGCTGGCTTGCACCATTTCAACATTATGTTGTAGGAATGTAGGGTATTATTTGTATCCTGAATGTCACTCACTTCTTCCATAAGTTTATCAACGCACCCATCAGATCTCCACTGTGCTTGAACATAACGTCGAGTCGTTCTGACATTTGTTGGGTATTATTAAGGACAGGTTCATTGATTTGGGTAGATATCTTTTGGTCGTGTTCATTGATGGAGTCCTCCAAAAGATCTTTGATGGTGTCTTCTACCATAGCGTTAAACTTGAATTTCAAACTTTTTGGTATTCTTTTTTCCATTAAATCCAGGGTTTTCTTGAGTTCGTCAAATTTTCTATCCGTTTTATCAAATTATTGCTTAGTGAATTACGGTAATTATTTTAGGTTTAGGTGTATCTGCGAACCTTAATAAACAGCGACTCAACGCGGTAAATAAATAGCACACCGCTGATAATCGGATGATTTTATCCCTGAGCAAAGAATAAAGGTCAAATCGATAATTGTAAAGACAAACATACTTTATAACGCGTCCGAAAGAATGTCCCACAACAATTGGTTGCATAATCTGCATTTTATTAGTTATAAATAGAATATAGCAGACACCCGATCACCTTCGTCATCCATATTAAGCATGCATTAGGTATTGAAGTGAGTAGAATTTCGATGCCCAAAGGCTAGCTGTGACCTCGGGGCTCCAAAATAAGTGAGGATTGTTAATTTAATTCCCGTCAGATAGTTTACCATATATACATATATATATTGATTGTTAGTTTTAACTTGTTTTGACACCATTCATTTCAGAATAATTTCAGATCCTTCACATTCGAATATATTCGTATTCAGGTACCGGTAATTAGTAAGCACACCAGGTGTAGCCTACTTGGATATTAGAGATAGCCGCAAACAGTAATATTTCATTTGAAAGGCTTGATTGAAAGGATATAGTTAGGGACTTAAAACTTTTGTCGTACATAATCCCATTCTGAGCCTTATTTTTAATGCATACATGAAATAACCGCCGAGCCAAATCAATTGCGATGTCGCAAATATATATATATATAAAATAAGTAGTAGTTTTTCATGGTTTAATATTCCCTGTTTCTCTTTTTTTCTAAGCACAGGAATTACGAGCTAATCTTTTTATTGAGAAACAAGATCCTTTATAAAAGCAAATAATGAAGAAGACTATAGCATTAGTATTATTTGCTATGTTTGCAACTGTGAATTGCATATGTGAGTTGCTGAATTGCTTATTTCTTTTATTATCAATTTTATTTATCGTTACCAACCACACTGCTGATTTGGGAACTTTATGTTTAAATATTTCTAATTGTAATCTTTGTGGTACGAGTTTTCATGTTTGACTTCAACTCTCTGTAGCAAATTATCCTCATAACTTACGTGAAATTATGTGCATGTTGAATCAACCATGCGAAGTGCGTATATGACATTTGGAGTCTTTGGTTCGATTAGACTATCATTAGAGTATTTGACTATTACAGTAAAATATGTAGTATTCTTAGCTGTTTGTCATTGCGGTAAGACCAATATTTAGGGTCAATTAGCAATTAGGGACACCACCAATTTTCTTAATTTACTTCAGTATACCTCATCAATCCAACGGCTTTTCGACACATTTTTACTCTGATATGCTCGAAGCATGATGATGTACGCTGGTCGAAAAGTACTGCTCCTGCTCGGAAAACGTTCCATAAGGTCAGCAAAAATAATCAGAATGAGTCCCTCGTCCGGACCCAAGCTTTGAAGAAAAACAGTCGTTCCAACAGCGGTAATGGGTGAGACTAGCCAAACTAGGAGTAGCCAAACATAAACCGGCCCAAGTTTAATAGACTACCGCATCGATCCAAATATTATGCCACTTTTTAAACATGTTTATCCAAGATAGTAGGAAAAGCGATGTAGAAAATAATATCGATAACATTTTTATCTCAACGTAATACATTTTCAGGCATGTGATCAAACTTTTAACCCATCCAAAAAGTGATTAATCAAATTCCAACAAAATGATATTTCGGTAAAAACACAATATTTTATAAAAAGAGTAGCATATTTAATGGAGATCGTTGAGAAATCTCCCAGAGCCTATTTTTTACAACTCCTGCGAGAACAAAAAAAAATGTTCTAAATGCGGTAGCTTGATAATGATTCAGGTTAAATGATTATATCTTTGTCAGCCACTAAACTTTTGAGGCTGATTTAATCTCAGCTAATTTTAAAACCGTGGTGGTTTTTGGCATGATTGATCATGGTAGGTATTTTATCAAACATCCTTCTGGGTGAGACTTTGTAAACAAGTCAGCTTTGAGTATGTTTTTAAATCTTTTGTAATATAAGCGGATATTTTGATACTCCTGAAGTATGTGAACTAAGATGGCGGACACCGGAACGTAGTAATGTGTACCGGGTTAGGGTTAGGCCATAATTTAAGGGACAAATACTACAGAAGTCATTTGGCTGATTCCCGAACTCGTAATAGAACTGAAATAAGGAAAATTTGAATAAAATTATAGCCTAACCCTGACCTGGTACGCATATTACGTTCCGATGTCCGCCATCTTGATTCACAAACTTCGGCAATATATAACTATATTTTGGTAAATTATATCTTTTAATTATTACATTAAATGAATTTATAGCAATCTTGAAAAAGAATGCTATAAGTATGTATTATAAAAATAGATCAAAAATTGCATTCGGCCCTCTGCTCGATTATCGATAACATGTAATGCGGCTCCAGGAGCCTGTGAGTTTGGCAGCAATACACCGACGTGTAGTCAGTCTAAGTATCGATCTTGGAACAACCAGTGTTCTTGCTTTGCGTGCAAATATGTTACCTTGCATTGTTTTTTAATACTTACAAATGTTCAAATGTGTTTCTGAAGTTCTCACGGGAAAATGCGTGATTCAATGCGAGAATGATGACACAACCCTTGGATGTCCTCCCTTTCAGGATATGTTGAAGAAAGGAGGTTTTCCAGGATGGCGCTGCATCTATTGTCTTTATGGAAATGGATGTGGTAGGTACATTGTGACACATTTTGATGTTGATATGGAAATCTATGATAGATTCATAGTAACAGCATATTATGCTCTATAAAATGTTAACCCCTTTTTCTAAACAATTTTTTTTTTATCGATCGGTTAAAATAGTCATCGAACTCAATATTCATATTGGAAAAACCATGGCTTTGGTAAACACTTTAAATTATGTATAGATCATATGATTATTTATTGAAGTTTTTTGAAAGTTGCATACATATGCTATGTTACGCATGCTACGACAGATAAACATTCGAAGATGACTCTTTATTGGGAAGGTAACTTGTGCAAAATAAATTTAAATATGACACCAATAGGTCGTAATTTCGGATGCTACTTGGCGAAGTGGGATCTCTGCGACTATTGTGATCCAATCGCATTGGTTGAAATTCCAAATTGCTTAGAATGCGTCAGAAAATGCGAAAAAAAGGTAAGAATGTTCTGTTAAGGTTAGTATGTATTCACATCTTAAAGTTTTCACTTTTTATGGCCACTCTTCTACGGTATCCAAATTGCCCGCAAACGAACTGTCAAAATTAAATCTCAAGACTTCGCGGAATCGCCATCAACTATTTCAAGTCTATTATTCTGACGATGTGTACGACAAACCATAGACAAAATATATTGAATATATTCTAATTATTCAGCAGGTGTCTTTAGCCTAATTGAAAAATATAACTTGTCGTGGCCATAGGTAAACGCTGGATATACAAGATAATTATATCACCCCAAATCGATGATTAACTATGTATTAAATGAAAATTCTCCCTCATAAACGAAAGCCAAACGAAGCGTAAAAGTGACACCAGTTTGAGGCAAATATCATATTGTTCAACTTTTTCACTTTAGAGAAAAGAGGATGAGGAAAATGAACACTAAGAAGACGAATTATAATTCTTCTCGACTTGTCTATATCATGTAATCACTATCTGACAAATATGATCGATATATACCCATCATAGCCTTTCTTTGCAATAATACAATAATTCGGCAATGAGTACTTTCTAGATGTTTGGCCAAGTACTGATAATATCATTGGTTCATATTTGATTGCGGTGATGGTAATTGTTTTTTGATTTTTTTTATGTTACTAATTTAGTTTGTCATAAATAAGCATTTGGGCATCATTTAATCAAAGTGTTTTCAAATGCCACGTAAAATTTCATGGGTTCCAGAATTTTCAAGCATTTATTTCACGATTGAATATAGTATGTCATTATTAACACAATCGAATATGATCTCAATCAAACTTTACTAACATGTTTTGACATGTACTAAGCTTAATTGAATCTTGTAAAGAACACGTACATTTGTAGTTCAGTGATTCGGATTTTTCCCGTAGTACAGATGTTTTGTATTGGGCTCTGTAGTATGGAGTGTTTTTTTGTTTTGATTTGTAATTTGTAATAGCCAACTGATACAAAATTGAGCAAAAGTAAAATCTGAATTTGTGTTAGAACGGGGCGCTATGTTAACTTTAAACTGCCTTCAGTGATGGCCATTGATGATTGACACCTGCCTTGCAGCTTCTCCAACTACACAGGGATCGTGAAATTTTACAGTTCGATATTTTTGGGGTATAATTATATTACCAAGCTTTTTCATATTTAGTCTGGAATATTGTAGTGTTCGTAAAATGTTTAGGGTTTCGTGATATCGTTACCTTTATCGTAAAATTATAAGAACGAGTATTTAAAGTTGATGCTAGATAGATAGCACTGTTAGTAGAATCTGTTTTAGAATATGTAAAAAGTTTCCACGTCTTTCATTTTATTGTCAGTATATTTAATGGCCGTGTCGGCAGTGATGAGCCTGAAAAATCGTAACGACCGTAACGCACCTAATTCAGGAAAATGTATTATATTTACAACACGAATGTGGACGCTTACAGAAATTTGTGGCCTGTCCTGAGATAGAGCCGAAGAGCTACATTAAGAAGAACATAAAAAAAATTGTCTGAAATATGTTTGGATAAAATGACAAGTATATTCATAGCAATTCAATACAAATGTTATTATCAAGTCAAAAATAACTCGCAGTGTGCTTATCAATATTCAAAAAAAGGATGAAAAATATTTTATTGGTAAGGTATAGGAAGAATTTTCCGGAGCCCAAATGTTGGAGAAACATTCCTTACATGTTACGGCTGTACTATATCTGCTGTGATATAAAAAATAATTATGACGTAACCAAACGTACGGTTGATAAGCAAGTTTACCAGAAAAACTGAACTTTCTATGACATAATTTTATTTCAACATCAGGAACGCACTTGCAATAAAATATTTATCAACCTGAACGGCGTTCCGGCTACAGCTCACCACTGGCGTCGGTGTTCTAATATTTTCAGTTTAAATTTCTAAATTCAAACGCCACGTTTAAGTCGGAAATCCTTCTATAAAGTAAGTAAATACGGTACAAATAAAGTTATGCTTCGTTTTGGAATATTTAAACTGATAGGTAAAATACCAAGTATTTAAAATGAAAACAGAATTCGGACAGAAAAAGAAGATTTCCATCTGTATACTGACAGGGCATTTTGTAAGTATATTCTTTAGAAAAGCCAAACTTACGTGACATCACAAAAGCCTTGGTAATCCAGCGAGAGACACGAAAACGTGTGTTAATTAATCAGCACATGGATACAAACGAAGATGTATACACCTATAGGTGCTCTATGCAGTCGGTGATAATAATATCGTCCCTGACTATCGATAACATATAATCCATTATTAAAAAAGATATACATGTTTTGAATATTAAATAATATTGATGCTTATCAAATATTTATCAAATCCTCTCGAAATCGAAATACACTTTTATAATGTACAAAACGTACAAATACTACTTATTTCAATATTAATCAAACGTGATTTTCATATACATCTGATATAACATGCCCAGTTTATCTAATATTTATGCTAGATTTAACATTGTCATTATTAAGTCTGAACAAATGTGAACAGAGGAATTTTCTGTGTTTTCGTCAGTAAGCAAACGTTGAAAATCGATTGTAATTGTTTTAACTAATGCAGATACTGAAAAGCGTCTTGATATAAATGACATTTACGTCAAACTTCAGCTAGACATTGAATGAAACGGGATCTATAACAGGTTCAGACTCTTTAGCGCGTCGGCTTAGAGAAAAGTGTTTGATTCTGATTATTTTATATAAGAAGGTTAGGCCGACGAGTTGCCTGGTTATGGTCAATATTAAAATTATTATATTGGTCAATTTGACTGAATTTATGAATGATAAGGCTTTATTTGCTAACCATACACCTTTTCGTCTCCTTATGAGCAAACCCAGTAAATACCTGTTGAAGCGTATAAAAATACTAAAGATTTATAGTAACTCAATTTTGATTTAAACACAATACTCAAAATCTATATGATTATGGCCATCTAGCCAGAGTGTACCCTGTATTATAAAGTTGTAGGGTATCACCATAAAATATCATTAAAAAACGCTTCTTTTTCAGAATGAGAATAAACCACTTTTATCGTTGTCATTAATAATATATACGAATCTTCAAGTATTCATTGAATTGGTTTACAGAAAGGCAGATTGAGGAAACGTCGTTTGTTTAACACAATGCCTGATTTAGCAAACAGAACAATTCTTCCAGATACGCAAAATTGGGATTACCGAGGTCAAATGAGTGGATTTTTGAGAAATACGGACAACTCACCTATAATACTCAGTATAATTTGCGGAGTTATCTCGCTCACAATTATTTTAGGAATATTCATTGGCACTTTGATGATGTTAAAATTAAAACGCTGGCATGATTCTAGAGACGAAGACCATGGTACACTATCACCTTCCGCTGATGACGCATTGGGATGTCCTGTTTGGTCGAAACACCGCTTTCATTGGCACTATGGTGGTAGGTCGAGAGCAAATAGTCCTGGAGAAGAAAGAAGACTTTCAGAACCGTATGCTCATTCTACAGCTACAACCCATACAACATTTGTCCAATGTCGAATCGATCCACAAACGCCCGGAAGCGAAACAAAGAGCATTGTCGAAAACGAAGATGACAGAAATTGCGTGTCTCAAAATAACCAAGGACTATTCCTATCAAAAGTATCTTTATAACAGTGACCTTGTTCATGAAATATGTAGCCTAAACATGAAGTGTCATGTCGCGAAATGTGAGCTTGTTTTTTTCAACACAGGGGTGCACAACTCAAATGAGAAAAGGGTGCCAAAATTTTCAAAATGATATTGTCGCGTGCCACGCCACGTTGGAATAATTGTTGATATTATAAACGCACTTCCATGAAACACATGACAACAAACAAGAAAGTGTTGCATCACAAACCAAGAACAACGGCGTCTGTTTCAATTCGATAAAGGTGATAGTTGGTAGTCCACGGGTCCACTTATTTTTTGCTACCAGCTTTAGCTATTTAGATATTAACGTCAGTTATTAAGATATAAATAAAACAAATTACTTTTCACCAAAACGTTCGCGTGTCACGTTCTATATCTTATGACGTGCCACATTGGGCACTCATGCCCAGTTTTGTGCAACCCTGCACTGGAGTACAATTAATTTTACTAATAGTAAGAAGTTTGCTATGTTATATCGATGTTTATGGAGTGGATGTTTTAGTCGTGATTTTTGTTCTACTAGCAAGTTAGCGATTATTTTAACCGGTATCAAATGCATCCAAACTGAAAATTTTCTACCTTCCACAATGTTGCTTATTGAATATTCAAATTATTCTTGACGTATGACGTGGCTCATTTTTTGGATCCTGAAAATCATAAGCTCCCGACACGACCGAATTTGGTTGCCTTAAGGCACTAAGTCTGATTTATAGCTGTAAAATTGTATCTAACGGGTATTGTAATGTTACTCAACATTTTACCAATGAGGTTTATATACCCTGGGTTGGCCGGGGTAGTTGTATTTGCCATTTCGTCCCCGATGTTGAAATATAATTTTTTTTTTATATATTCATTCATTACCACCAGCTCATGCAAAATCATTGTTTTAAAAAGCAGGCTTGTTCATGGGATGTGGATTCCCATGGAAAACGTCGCATGGGGTGGGATGGGACAGGAAACATTTGTATATCCCATGGGACACGAAAACCGTATGATTTTCGGGGAAATGATGGTAAAACATTTTGTTATGAACTTCGTTTCCATATATTTGAGCATCTCTCTTTTGTTAGTTATGAAGAGCCAAATATATTCAGCATTAACAATATACTTCGTGAAGGGGCCGATGGACACATGTATAATAGTTATGAATTTAAAGTTAATAAAGTCTGTAAATTTTGTTGTTTTGTATGTCTATTCGTACATGTAGTCCTGTTTAATAGACGCTAAACCCGAATTTAACAATTATCATTGAATTTTTATCCAATGGGAATCCCATAGGATGGGATGGGACAGGCATAATTGCTATGGGATGGGAATGGGACAAAAACTAGGTCCCATGGACAAGCCTGTCAAAAAGTATGTGAATAAATCAAGTATTATGCAAGTAGAATCATGCTGACTTATCCGAGAATATAAAAAAATCAATAACAACTAAAAGCTTTTTGTGAATTGAAAAGCTTGAGCAAACGACGTGTAACAAGAAAAACATCTGCCAAATATCAACGGACGTTGTTACATAGCACTAATATCCATTAAAATAACTTCGCCAAAATACTAATGAATAGTAATATTTTGTTAGGAGATTTATAATTTGAAGGGTTTTTCATCTCGGCTTTACTTAGTAGGATAGCAAACATATTATAATTAGTGAACGAAATATGATGTTACAATTCCCGTGGCCTCGTTAACTTTCAAAAATTAATATTTCATAGGATGTAATGTAACTTTCCTTCTGCGAGTTTTGTAATAAATATACCTCGATTGTTCATATAAGATGAAAATAGATAGTTTATAGCGTTGCGAGAGATTTCGAACTCCTACTGTTATTTGACAGAATTTTTTTGTTCAATCTCGCTCTGCAACCTTACATAATAGGCAATTATCACTAGAAACGTTACACCAGTCACGAGTCTTTTCGAATTTTTGGATGTCAACTTTTCCTAACGATATATAGTTGTCTGAGCCATTTTCTTTCGCTTCCGGCTACGAAAGGTTCGGCTATTATAATATGATTATATTTTGGATCTCAGACTTTCCAATTTCAAGCACTCAGACAAAGTCACGTCATGGTGGTGATAAATATATGTGATATCATCGTCCTAATAATAATCTGCCAGAATAAAATGCCGTTACACATAAATCGGCTTAGCGGATATTGAATCAATATTATTATCATCCGTTAATCACGTCATTCTCGGCGGAAAATGCTACGTGCGTCAAGATTTGAGAGTCTGTCAAGAAAGCTCAGTCAACCTCATTACTTTTTAGTTCCTGTACAAAAGTTTCACTTCGATTAGATTAGAACCATTAATATTGGACGAAAAGTTGCAAACTCAATCATGGAATATCTAACATAGTTTTACACGTGAGGCAATCAACGAACTTGCTTGGACTCACTCTTTTGGCTAACGATAATAACTAATTTATTGACTGTTCAATAGATTTAAATGTATAATTTATAGAAGAGAGAACTTTTCGAACAAAAATACGGCTTCTGCTTGTGGGCTTTGGATTTTGAGTAGATGTGCAATACTACCACTGACGCTGAAAGTGGTTAATTCAATTTGGATGTCAATCAAGTTCGTCAAAGTGACTGAATGAATGAAAAAAACATTCAATTCATTCGAAAAACGAAATACAGGGAATCGTAGCAAAGTCGTATACAATTTCCTGCGAAAGTATAACCTTGTCTGTGAAGGGAATTTCGATGCACTCAGAGGCTTGCCTCAGCAAATCGTTGATTCTACCGCTTTATGATTTTTCTCAGCATTTTAAAGATTTTAATTCGCCGTTGAGTTGGACTGCACTTAACCGAAGGTGCTCTCTCTAATCTCATATATTCCCACGAGACGACTTAACCTTATATGCTTGCGGCAAATTTTACGCGCAACTGCAAACTCCCAGAAGAATTTAAAATGTAATTTTCGTTGCATTTTATGCATTAGTATACTACGTATGGTGAAATAAAAATGCAAAATTGCAATTTATATAAGACAGTTGGATGCTGCAAAACGTGTCTCTTGGCGTCACTTTCCTTTTCTTCTGTTGATGTAATTAACCAATTACTTGATATTTACGGGCACCCTATCTAATCTAATACAATCTACAATTGAATCCTCAAACTGGGCTACCTAAAGTAATATGAAATGTTTGAAACAGTGATAAAGATAAACAGTGATAAACAGTAAAAAGAGTTAAATGCAATTAAATATAGAAACTATAATATTATAGAATTGGCAAAAACAATATATTACATAGTTTTGAATCATTCTAGCCTAATAATATGAATTACTTAGAGCTTTTACGTGTGACATATGGCTAGGGTATAACAACTGTTTTAGTTATCATCGCATGACATAAAAACTACAAAAAAAAACGAAAACTGTATTATATTCAGGAACTTGATAGTCATTTTTCACTTCCAAGGTTTTTATCGATATTATAAACCAATCGCTTTTATGTGGTCAATCGTGGCCAATCAAATTATCTCCAATTAACCAACCACTATTAGCTATTTTTAAACGTGAAGAAGTTTCCCATATTTCCTGTAATTAAATAAAATTATATTCTTGCGGTTGGTCTAAAATTATGGATAAAAGTATAAAAATATCAATAACTGCGAGATACATTCGGAATAAAAATGAATACTTTATTTGGGTACTAATAGTGACAAAATTCATTTTTGATTTAATCAGGCTCAGAATAAAAGACCTTAAAGTGACTTTATGTTTGCATCCCCGGATGGCTTTTCCAGTAATCCTGCTAGACAAGGGTATGATTCAGACAGATTGTTACGATCCACCCACGAATATAATGACAGGTCTTGGTACCGCAAATTTAGGCCAACGTCATTCGAATTAGTTGCGCTCTCGTATACTGGAAGAAGAAAAATCATTATTAATTGTTACCGATGTAAGTGTGGTTATACGGAACTAAAAGGAGCTCGTATACTAAAAGTCGAAATTCCACAAATTGAAAAGATTGATGGCGTCTTGTGGGTCGTATAATCAATTGTAGTTAGCTGCAACACGCAATCCGTTGAGAAGTTGACAAAAGAGGAGATCACAAAAAGTATTAGCTTTTATTATGATGCATTATTAACCGAAAACTTCAGAATGTAGCGGGAGACAATAGCAATAGCAACTTCCTCGGGTATAGGCTTCAATAAGGCTGACCTACACTCAACCTAAATTTGTTCAATTAGGCAGATAGATAGCTAAAATAGTGTTCGTTGTTCAAGTTCATCTATCTAATTCGTTCAGAATTCCATCCACCTATTTTAGTTTCTTATGGAGTTGGCAATAATGCAGGAAAGTATAACATTATGTTTGCGTTTCACCTTTATAAGTTTGTTTCATCTAAAATTCAACTCTTATTGAAGTGCGTATCTTATAAGATCAGTATACACATTTACTAAATGGTAGTACACAAATATGTTTTGATTTCTCATTTTCGTAAACCAAATTATAACATCAGCCCAATTTAAACCAAAAAACTCATTATGTATTGCCTTAACATAGGGTCGGTTCGAGGTTTTCAAAAATTTCCAGCCGGTTGTGTGGTGTATATAGCAGACAGCACTATTTTCTCCCAAGTGTATTTCTTTTTACCGTCATTTTCGATTCTTTACCCGTCACTTAAATTCAAGAATAATTTCGCCCATGTTTGACTAGACTCTAGTAGAGCCTTTAGATTCAGACAATTACTCATTTTTTGTCGTAAATCGTCGACGACATCACACCTACGTTCGTTGTTAGACTGAACCGATTGGTAATTAAATCTTGAATATTGCATCACTTAGCCTCCGGCTATGCGTCCGTTTAAAGAAGTATCGACTGTTGACCAAATGTACTACCACTGGAGCAGTTATTAATTTTATTTTATAGTAGTTTTTCTAAGTCAATACCATATATGGAAAATTTCTGGCATTTGTTCGATGTCAAATGTTTATACAGTTTTGTTAAATGCTATATATACATTTATACACTTTGGTGATAATCTGTAATTGTTTGTTTTAACTTTATTTGTTATGCTTTTAGATTCAGTATCACTTACAACCGGAAATTATATTTGAGTTAACAGTCATGAATAAGGAACAACTTGTGCGCTTATTATTACCACTGAACGCCCTTGTAATAATTTTATTTGTTTATATAAACTCAGACATGGATATGATGCATTCTGAGGAATCAGTCAACGACAAGTACATGCACTTCGAAACAATTTTGTCGGCGAAGGGCATCAGGAGCGTTGAAGACATCGGGTCTTTTAAGAAGAAGAAAAGTAAAAAATTTCATGAAAACGATAATTTTTCTGATCCGTTGAAACATTTGCAAAACGATTCTCCAAAAAAGCATAAAAAATCACAACCTAGCGAATCATTTTTGTCTAAGATGAAAGCAAAATCACGCGCCTCGATAGTAAATGGTGCAGAAGTATCTAAATTCCTAGGAATACGTATCGACGCTAAATTAACAGAAACCAAAACAAAAAAGAAATCGAATGAAGCGAAACATCATGTACCTCGTCTCAGCGATGAAGATTTTAATAAATTCAAACAGCTTCATGTCCGTAATGGGGAATGGATACGATTGTTTCCACATATTTTAAAAAGTATTGAAAGCATTGAAGCTCTCGATCACTTTCCAACCTTTGAGGAAACAACATCAGCTGATCATTCCATAGTGACGTGCAGGCAACGTGAAGTCACATTTGGAGAAACTGTAAAACTACACATTCAAGCAAGAGATTACACTAACAAAGAAAAACGTTATGGCGGCGATTACTTTCGTGTGATCCTGCAGAGGCCATCATTTGAAGGTGATGGAGTTAGTTGCACAATCACTGATAATACAGATGGAACGTATGAAGCCGAATGTCCGTTAGTGTGGACTGGGAAGGCTCGTGTTACTGTTACCATGGTTAATCCCAGCGAAGTGACATATATGTCTATGGCAAGGACTAACGCACACTCAGAAGCATATCTGACGATGAAAACATCATTTATTAACTCTAAAGGAGAAACTGAATATGCTATTTGTGATATGGATTTATCGAACAGATTCAAGTGAGTGTTATAGTATATATTCTTGTGTGAGTCTGCACATCCTCAAGTTGAGTTGTGGTATTTTCCCTCAAAATTGTTCAAAATTCTTTGTATATTCCCTTTACACATTTGATTAGTTAAGGTATACATTAGGTTATTCTGTTTGCTGTCAAAAGTGCTTCCACTTTAAAACGTTGGAGTGTAGATCATATATGCAAGCTACTACCGGTACCAGAGTGTCCGTTTGTGATACTTAGGCAAATGTAAACCAAATATGTAAATAAACTTTCGATTGCCCTGGTATCACATACATTCAAGACCTATAAAATATGTATATATTGGCTGCGAAATCACCGGATTCTGAATACTAGTCAGCATAGTTCAATGATAATAACTGAAATATATACATACATATGGTAAGTAGTAAAACGCATAATTTGCTTCTTATATCGAGTCGGATCAATTGTTTATTTATTTTTTCTTTTATTTAGAAAATCAGAGATATGCGATCATTCCCACCCAAAGACTGGTGAACCATGGTTTTGCGCCAAACCGCCATCTGGCGAATGCAACCCCATAGCATCTCAAGGACACCGAAAATTTGAGAAAAAAATATTACCTGGAGATAAATATTTTAATCGCAAACTTAATTCTGATAAAGAAATTGGTAAATCTGGGTTTACTATATCCATTGCAAAAATAACGACAACTTCAAATGACGATGCTAATTCAAAACACGTTCCAAACCAGTTGCCTTGCAGCTATAACAAAAGGGAATTACATGTTCCGTTGAATCCTGCTGAAGCCACAGGATATATTCATCAAGGCAAATGGAAATCTCTGGAATGCAACAACACTGTAACAGATCAAAAGTGGACAACCTGTTTAAATCGCAGTGCCATCCACGTTATGGGCGATTCGACTATTTTGGCCTTTTATCGCGCTATTCTAATAAGGGTACACGGTCGACCTGGGGTGGATCGAATAATAAGTTGGGCGAAACCGCATGAAGGGTTTTCTAATCGTACTGACACAATTCTTCACTTTACGTCACACGGGCATCCTTTTCATGCAGAAGGCCCGCCTGAAGCCCGAATGTACATTTACGATGCGTTGGATAAGATTGTTGATGTCGGACGCCCAACTTATGTTGTTTTCGGCCTTGGGGTACATTTCGGACGGTTACATCCAGATATTTATCTGAAGCGTGTTAAATATATTAAAAGATCAGTGTTACGATTACGGAAGCGAGTCCCAGATGTAAAAATATTTATTTTGGGATTACATTCAAACTGGCCGTGGATTTTTCAACCGTCATCCTTTGTGCCATATCGACATGAAGTGCTGCTTCGAAATGAGTTCCGAAAATCTGAAAATGTTACCTTTGTTCCTTTCTGGGATATGTTGGAGATTCTTGGAAATAAAGCTCCACACCCAGATGGAAAAAGTTTTGATCAAGAGCTTGAGCTGTTGTTTTCTTACATGTGCAAAAATTGATTTTTAAATATGCATTTATTTATCGCCTTTTGCCTAATTGTTTTATTTATTTTATCTTAGATAGCGCTTAATACGAGAATTGTACGGGAATAATATCAATTTATGCGGTTGTGTTGATTGATGATGTTAAAAACCAAAATTTAATATCAAAATCCTTACGACCAACGTTTTTCAATTTGAAACGTCTCGAATATTTTATACCTTACAATCTTTTACTATTTATTAAAATTTCTTTCAGTTGACATAACATATGTTAGTAGTATGATTATATCATCTCGACAGTCAAGCGGTATCATTGGGTTTTTAAACTCTGGATCTCTAATGAGCTGACGGATCTGAGGACCGTCAAAGATGCCAGACAACCTGGAACGATTTTCCGTCAGTAATCCTGGTAACTGAATAACACCTGCGCAGATATATGGTCGAAGCGAAATTCTGAATACTTTTTTCATAAACAATGATAGATGGAGGGAATTAAAATGCATATATATTATTCAAGAGAGCATACTGAGCATTCACATGACTGCATTTCACAAGTTGCGTGTAGTGTCATACCGAAAAGGTTGAATCGGGTGATAGATACAAAAAGCTGTAACTTACCTAATTTATAACGAGTTTGCTCAGGAAAACGTCAGGTTAATAGGCTTTAAAATGTGTACCAATCGTAATTAGAAAACATTGCATTGCTCAAATATATTGTCCCGAAGGCCAAAACGAAGTTTTTTTTCCTATAAAGCACTTTGCGAACGAAGTAGTATAATTTTTTTCCAGTACCGGTAGTTTACGGTTTTGGGGAACTCCCGATTTCACTGACCAAATGATTGCTGAAATATGATTGAGGGATCGCCACATGATATGCAATTTTCAATTTTGTAGTCGCCAACACACAAATCTTTGAAGTGTAAAATGAATCCCATAGAACTCACTGAAACTTTAGAAATAAATAAAAGTAATATCCCCCTAACGACAACAACAATCTTGAACCACTGAAAATTTCAAAGTAATTGATTTAGTAGTAGGTAAGGAGAAAAGCGATTTCTCACAACAACAATAACAAGAATACTAACAACAACCTCAATTAAAAAAAAAACTATCCAGAGGTCTATTTCTGTTTCAATAATAGCAAGTCGACACAGCCCGGTTCATTTTGTCCAAGATCGATCCACATTAGGTCATTATGCTGGTCTGTTCAGTGGTGTTTTGGCAAGCGACAAATTTCGTTTGCAAAACTAGGTAAAGTGTGTCTAGAAGCTTATCGCGCGTTTTAGTTCAATTTGCATCTTGCTTAATAATAACACTGGCCAACAATTTTTTAGTTTTTAAATGTTGTCTAGATTTTTTTACACCTGATTTAGAGTATTTTGACACTGCCGAATCGTAAAGTACCATCCGTTTATCTCCATCAGCTCAGATTTGTGTGCTGAGCTAATGTGAAAAAAATCATACTGCATGACAAGATTGATTACATATTTTTGTGGCATTATCAGCTCATTTTTGTCATCACACATCATCCTACATCCTTCTAAGTAAGGTTTTCAAGAAACAAAAAATGTTCGTCCACCAATATATATTGATTTCCTAATGAAAACATCGATTACTGTAAGCTAAATGATGGACAGTGGTATACGTAAATTGCATGTTCAGTTACCATCATTCAAACATCAGGGTTCGAACTTCGTTTCTTCGAACTCCTGGAATGCTTAGCGGCAGGGAGGTGTCTCTTTAGAGCCTAACAGTAGTCAGTCACCAGGACTGCGACCCCGATACCTGGTCTCCATTTTTTTCATGTTCTGACGGAATCTCTCCCCATACGCCACTCACTGAAACCAGGGTCTCGGTAAACCGGTCCATATGTGAAAATAGGTAGTTCATATTGATGCTCATGTTGCATCCCAAGTTTCTGAAAGCAGTCAGCATGTTGTTGACAAGTTATGCAAGTTCATTTTCTTCGTGTAATCCTGAGCACAGTCCCTACTATCTCACATGCACATGAACCATGGATTGCTGAAGACATATTGGTGGCGGGACTGGAGTTGTCCTATTTTTTACTGTTTTATATCTTATTTACATTTCTTGTCAAGTAATTGGACACGTAGTGGACATAACGATCGTTTCAATATTATGTTGTTCTTGTTCTTGTTGTTGTTCTTGTTCTTGTTCTTTGACACGTTTTTAAAAAGTCGCTTTTCTCTTCGAATACTGGACCAATTGCTTTGAAATTTTCAGTGGTTAAAGATTAATTTTTTCGCTAGAAGGCTATTACTTTTGTTTATTCTTAAATTTTATATGAATCCTATGAGATATGATATTTCATACAGAATTTCGCGGTATTTATTTTTACTCATGGGAACACTGTTTTACACTTATTTCAAGCGGTTTCGCGATCGATTGTCTTGCTCAGTACTACAGCTACTGTAGGTCGGTACTGGTAAGTTGCCATACAGGTACCGTAACGCAGTGAAATTGACTTATTCCTTCCGCGGTATTACTAATGCTGCAATGCAAGTTTTATAGCCTATCGTATGCGGAACGGAATATCAGACCTACAGGTTCGGTACCGGTACTGGTAGCTCAGTACGTAAGTACGATACTGGTACTGGTGCCGGTACCGGTGTCTTACCACAATGAAATTACCGTAACTTATTCTTTCACGGTCCTACCAGTGCAGTAATGCAAGCGTTGTAGCACTTGTAGCCTACTATATTTGTTTATTTTGATGAGAGTCTACTGGAAACAACATAAAATTTGAAAGGGAAGAATTGTTCTGTGATCAATTATCTGTCCTAAAGTGTAAACAACATAAAATTTGCAAGGGAACAACTGTTCTGTGATCAATTACCGTATATGGCCTACAGTGTACAGGTAAGATGCTGGCTGACTGCTAACCGGTACTGGTAGCTCAGTACGTAAGTACGATACTGGTACTGGTGCCGGTACCGGTGTCTTACCACAATGAAATTACCGTAACTTATTCTTTCACGGTCCTACCAGTGCAGTAATGCAAGCGTTGTAGCACTTGTAGCCTACTATATTTGTTTATTTTGATGAGAGTCTACTGGAAACAACATAAAATTTGAAAGGGAAGAATTGTTCTGTGATCAATTATCTGTCCTAAAGTGTAAACAACATAAAATTTGCAAGGGAACAACTGTTCTGTGATCAATTACCGTATATGGCCTACAGTGTACAGGTAAGATGCTGCCTGACTGCTAACTCAGTACCGCTTGACACGTTTTTAAAAGTCGCTTTTCTCTTCGAATACTGGACCAATTGCTTTGAAATTTTTAGTGGTTAAAGATAAAAATTTTCTCCAGAAGGCTATTACTTTTTTTTTCGCTATGACGTCATCAAAATTATGTGACTCTACGTGTCCATATATTTGAGCATAGCTCTCTTGTTGCATATGCATTGGTGTGTGGAGTCTGAGCCCTAATTCGCCCGATAGACAGATCATGATCCTCGACTCCAACCACCACTGCATATGTTAACTGTGCTGTGGTTAGCAGCGTTCGCTCTGTTTCTCGCTTTGGCTGTCCCAGAGTAAGCGTCGTATTTTGTCGCTCTTATTTCATCTGCTTTAAGCGTGGATTACACACCATTTAATAAAGTCTCTTCGTTTGCATCATGAACTTCGACCTATTTGTGTGGCTTTGCAGCACTGAGCACACGGGATCTTCTGAACTAATTATTAGTGGCGAGCACATATTTCGGTTAAGTCGGACTGCTGCGTATTGTTCTCCCAACAAAAGTTCACCATATTCAGGTAAACACCAATAAACCCCTTAAGCTGATCATAACCAATTTTCCCCAGCACATACTTCACCGCTTCATACTTCTCTTTTAGTGGGATTGATGGATGCAGGCGATAGGGTTGATAACGTGTCATACATATACTGCCAAGAGTATGTATATAGCATTTATTAGAGGGTGCCAAATCTTTAAACTTCCAGTTAGTAAGATGGGGAGATAATATAGCAACTAACCCCCAAATGTACTCCATTTCATGTTAAAAATATGAAAACAAAGTTAATTTTCCCCAAAATTCGAACAAAGACTTTCGTAGGAATCAAATTACACCAGGTTTAGGAACATAACAGGTTCCATCCAGTCATTATCAAATTGAAATCTATATTCTCAAGACCTTTGGCACTGATTGAAATAATTATATCTAAGTTCCCATCCGTACGATGTACCTAATTACCCTTGTTGAGATAATAGGAATTTCTGTTTATAACGTGAATCACGAGCTCACGTTTACAGCATTTAATTGGATTTATGATCAACGTATAAATACGACTCCGATATCTTTCGATAGAGGGAGGACGATGAGAGGGAAGACGATGTAAACCATTCAAAGCGAGTGTGGATAAATGTTTTAAGATTTGCTGTTTATAACGTGAATCACGAGCTCACGTTTACAGCATTTAATTGGATTTATGATGGACGTATAAATACGACTCCGATATCTTTCGAAGGAGGACGAAGGGAGAGGGAAGACGATGTAAACCATTCAAAGCGAGTGTGGATAAATGTTATAAGATTTATATTCTGTGTGTTGTGGAAATTTACGAATAAAAACATATAGAGATTTTTAACGCATCTCCATTTACGTGGACGTTGAAGCTGAAGGGTGAACGGGTGACTTGCAAGTCAGAGACAATCTACAAATTAGAAATATACGGTAACATCACATTCATTCATCTACCATTTATGCTATATGTATACCAAATACTGCCAAGTCATATATACCCAACTCAATATACAAATACAACAATTAAGGTGATGTACAAATACTGCCACGTCATCTGCATATATGGCCTAATCAATATACAAATACAGCCATTATTAAGGTGATGTACAAATACTGCCAGATTATTTCATAAGAATACAATTTATGTATATGCACGAATTATATGCACATTACGGCTTACGGGTCGATCACATAATTAGCGCATTAAAAAGCGTAAAACAATCCAAAGCGGCTAGTGAGCGATAGGTATTAGTATACAGGAGTAACGCTTTACTTACATGTTGATTGGGCACAAAAATACATAAAACTACCAGTGTTCGTAGTACATGATAACTATACAATAGGTACCAAGCTATGATGTCATAACAACGCACAACAGCTGATCGTTGATAATACGAGAAATGTGCTGGCTGAAAATAACTTTTTAGAGAACTATTCTTTGGCTATTCTCAATAAACTGTCCACAAAATTATCAACTTAATTCTTGGTGGAAAATATAAAACTGCTGGGGCGCGTATTTTTTTGATAAATGTCCAATAGGCGCCATATATATGGTGCCATAATACTCCACAACAGCTCATCTCGGATAACATGAAAAATGTGCTGTTCTCTCTTCAGTTCCACTGAGTTGATGCGGTGCATTCGAACACACCCTGGTACACAATCGGGCATTCTATTAAATTCAACGAAATGTGTCGTTAAACATTAGCAACGAGTCGGCATCACCATATAACCAAATGTGGGACTTCAAATTGGAAGATTTATCAAATTCGAAATTAATGTTCAACCAAAATATTTTAGATATACTTTGAAAAATATCCTTAAATAAATTGATAACAAAAAACTACTTTGGAGACATGCGTGTGAAAGAGTCATCGTAGAATTAATCTTGAATATTTTAGATTCTTATGATTAAATCTGGAATAAATTTATTGTTTTACTATTGGTTTATGCCTAATTTCAATTGAAACTGAGTTCTCTAACTTTATTTCTTGGAAATAACTATTCTTTGTTGAAAAGGCCACAAACATCAAATACGGGTTTTGATCAAAAACTGAAAGTATATGTTTCAATTCCTGCAATGTTCACTGTGTTCAATAAAACAACAAAATCCACATTTATATATTAACAAGTAAAATGTCCAATTTCTACCAAGGGCAAGTAATTTACTCTTTTGAATACCCTGTAGAAAAATATTTTTGAATCTAGAATATATTTTGAAGAAAAGAAGAAAACCTAATATAACACCAAACATAACGAGTTTCTAGGCCTCTGAGCATTTAAATAAAACACTATCGAGTTGTGCGTAGTGGACCATGTCCTTCTGAATCCCGGTCCCATTGTTTCTCACAACCGTCAAACATTTTCAGGCTGCTCCGTGTCAAGATTAAAAAGGTACATCCACTCGCCAAATTTTTTAATATTTCACTGTGGGCTAAAGCTAAAATATGCAAAACAGTCGTTTGTCCTGTAGAAAAAAAAATCTCAAATAGCGGAATTTTTGTTTCAACACCCTAAAATCTTAAATCCAAACCCTAAAATCTTGCTTCGCTCTACACGGCCGCTGTCCGTTTGTGGGGACGTTGCAACGCACCAAAAGGTGGAGTAGTCAAACTTCAAATTGAGTATATAGTATGAATGCGAATGATAATTTTCCACGTGGCCCATGCCCTACCATGGTCCAACTTTTCACAAACTCATCAAATTGAAGTTTGTTGAATTTAACAAATTCACCCGTTTTGAACTACAGATGCATTATAATCCCCTCGTTGCATTATTTCTTTTAATTTCGGACGTGAAAAATTGAAAATTGAGATTGAACAGTGCGTATTATATTTTTAAAAAAATTATGCCTTATTTTAGGCAATTGTTAGGGTGAGTTCAAACCAGTTACTATGTTGGCATTGGATGAGAAATAACTTGAACTGAATGAGAAATACCTTAAATGGGCCCGACCAGAATATCATAAATATGGGGAAGCAATGCTAAAATATATTGATATCAAGATCGCGTGTTAGGCCTTAGCTGACCACTGAGTTTGTTAATAAAAGATCGACGGTCAAACGTGATAAAATGACCCATTCTCTTGCATCTTATAAAAGTGTATATATGAATGAAATATGACATTAGCATTTAGATGAAATATCTGGCACCACGTGTGTCTCAAATACAATTTGATAAAATGAAAGATTTGCTAAGCCCTCACGTCCCATAAAGCTTACCAAACTCGGTTTTCAGTGTCTCTATCCTTTTGTTTTCAAATATTTTTCACCGGTGTGTGGCATGCCCAGAGAGTTTTTGCAAAGGCGTCTTAGCACAAAAATTCGAGAACCATTGCTTTACGACATTTAAATTTTCATGTTTTTATTTGCAAGGATAGGTGTCTATAAACCTATTTCAGCATTACTATTGCGTCATTCTCTGTTTCAATGATCTTTGCATAAAAAATGATATTTTCAGTTAAATCGTTTTTTTATTATCTTGACATTAATTTCCCTCTTAACATGGTGTGCCGGCAACCTTATGTATCCTTATGCGCAACCAGCATGTAAAATCTTACCACTGAACGATGCTCATCTCATGACATTTTATTACATCTACTTTACGCTAGTTGCAAGTCGTTTTTCATATTTTCGTCAACGAACATGGCCATCCTATAAAATAATCTTGCGATGCTTTCTTGATTAATCAATATGTAACGTAAGTAATGATAGTTTGCACCAAACTTTAACCTGATTGGTTAGCCTATACTTTACTGCCAATGGCCAAAGAATAGTTCACTGAAAAAAGGTTTTCAATGTCGTCTTTGGCAGCAACACATTCCTCATGTTATCACAATCAACTGTGGGGCTTTATCTTATGACATCATGGATTGCAACCTATGTTATGTATGCGACTGACATATCAAATAAATTGGCGGTGTATATACATAGCTGTATAATATGTATATCGAGTTTATTATAAGTACATATGACATTCGTTGTATATGTACATTACATGAATGGCTTCATATATATATTAAATTTATTGTATATGCATTTGACATTGTATGACATCGCTCAAGTGCCTCCGGTACATAAGGTTGACTATACATATATGACATTGGCTGATTGTGTACATTACTTGAGTGGATGTATACGTATATTGCGTATAGTTAATATGAGCATATTGCAATGAATCTGTATCTGTATATTAATTGGCTGTATATATAGCTCTGAATGTATATCGTGGCTAGTTTGTTTGTTGGTTAGACTAGAGGACGTTTCCTTCGTTGTCACGCGATGACTTATGGCGACTGTTGCGCCTGCACGATCCCCAGTCTGTCAGACACACTTTAACGCGGCAATATATTTTTTGTCAACGATACGATCGTAATACAATAGAATGATCCAACATGATAATTAAACACTGAATCGTGATCTTATATAGTAAATAAGCATGCACGGAAATGTCCTACTCAAGTGTGTAACAAAGATGAAGTATATTAAAACTGTTTCGTCATTTTGATATGGCTTGGGGCTATTTAACTTAATTATGTCCAGTATCAGAACTTGTTTTGGTTTATAATTTTAATAACTTCGGAATTATCTAGTTTCAATACAATTAATATTAAATACAACAGTCAAAACTTAACAAAATAACAAGATTATCCGTATATATATATACATATGGCATTGGCTGTTCATGCATATCTAGTTGGCGCTATATGTATATTTTCGGCTGTATATGTATACCACGTTACCTACCCCACTCGATACAGATGCAAACTTGTTGTCGTCGTGTAACAGAACACATTGATCGATTGCTGCTGTCAATGAACATTCTCCATTTTTGGGTTCGTACTGTGGCATCCCAAGCTTGAGTAGAAACTGCGCAATATCTGCACAGTACACCCAAGTCCTTTTCTTCAGAGAAAAAACGCAAGTATTCTTTATACTTATTGCGAAAGGAACTGATGCGAGCACTGTCAGAAATGAATTTTTTTTTCTTTCAATCTGAATGCCAACTGTTCGGCAGAGTCCTTTGGTATACTAAGGTCGCGAACTAGATCCTTCAACTCATTTTAGGAAAATGGATGTGGAGCATCATCTTCAAAAACAACTTCTTCTTTTTTTCTTGTCCTTTAAAATTGGAAGTATCTTCGTCACTAATGTCCGGAAGTTTTCCGAAGATAGGCACTAGAATTTAATCACAAACAACTGAAGGACGACATGCTGATTGAAGATCAGAATACCTGAGGCTGCCCGGTCCTTCTGTTAATCCCAGTGAAATCAACAGCGCAGAAGTAGCAGTCAGTGACATGGTTTGTCGGCTTCCTCCAAACAATGGGAATTCCAAAGTTTAGACTCCTCTTGCCATTGATTCAACTAGGCAGAGTCTCGGTGCATGCCTTTCACATCATGTGTGTCGCCCAAACTTTATCCTGGTCACCAAGTTTGATACCAAAATAAGCATGGTAAGCACGGCTTATGAAACTTGTAACTAGTTTCCTATTGGGAGCAATGGTGTAGTTTCCACATATGTAGTGAAGCAGGTCAATTTTATTTCTGCACGATATTCTGAACAAATCTATCTTGTTCACCCGCAAAAACAAAAAAGGTATAAATGGTCAGAATACACATAAAAAGCAAAAGCATCAAAAAGATCCTGTTGCCATGGTAGTAAACAAACATGATTGCTAGATTTCACACGCAACAAATTTAAAAAAATATTAATTAAAGACGGAAAATCAAAAAACACTTTTAAAAGTTAACCCAGTCCATAAGTAAAAAAAAAAACGTATTCCACACGGCATTTTACCCCCACCAATTTCTTTTAAAATTCCCCAACTTGCGTACATGAGAACAAAATAATAATAATAGGAAATTAATACGAAAAACTTTTGAGTGGTGCGCCGAACACATAGGGAAAACGTGGAAAATAATTCAAGTATATGCTAGTACACAATTATTTAGTTTCAATTCTTCATTTTCATAAATCAAATTATGACTTGTATCCTGATCCAATACTCCTTTAAGAATATTACCGGGCTTGTGTTTAAACCTAATTTAAACACAAAAAACGCTGTTTCATTATGTACTGCCTCAACTTACTTTTTATTTTGTGGTTTTCAAAGAGTAGTTTTATCGGGTTTAATTCGGTTATGAGCTTGAATATATCGATTTACATTTATAAATTTCCAGGCGGTCGAGTGGTGTATATATAGAGGACAGCACTATTTTCTTCCATGTGTATTTCTCTTTAACATCATTTCTGATTCACGAATATTTGACTTTACCCTCACTCACATTCGATTGTAATTTGGACCATGTTCGACTAAAGCCGTTTGCATTACGACAATTATTTATTTCTGTCGTAAATCGTTGATGACATCACACCTGTATTTCTAAAAAGTTCGTGGTTAGACTGAACCTGTTATGAATCGAACCTTGAATATTGCGTCGCATAGCCTCCGGCTATACCTCCGAGAAGTATCGACGGTTGACCAAATGTGTTACCACTACAGCAGTTATTAATTTTATTTTAGAGTAATTTTTCTGAGTCAGTACCTTTTATTGAGAATTTCTGGCATTTATTCGATGTCAAATGGTTGTATAGTCTTGTTAATTAAATGGTACGTATACATTTAAATAATTTGGTGATATTCTGTAATTGTTTGCTTCAACTTTATTTGTTATGCGTTTAGATTCAGTAATATTTACAACCGGAAATAATATTGGAGTAAACAGTCATGAATAAGGAACAACTTGTGCGTTTATTATTACCACTGAACGCCCTTGTGATAATTATATTTGTCTATATTAACTTAGACATGAATATGGGGCATTCTGAAGAATTAGTCAACGACAATTACATGCACTTTGAAACAATGTTGTCGGCGAAGGACATCAAAAGCGTTGGAGACATCGAACCTCTTGAAAAAAAGAAAAGCAAAAAGAATTATGAAAAGAATAAGTTTTCTGATCCGTTGAAACATTTGAAAACCGATTCGTCAAAAAATCATATGAAATCACGACCCAGGGAATCACTTATGTCTCAGATAAAATCAAAATCAGGCGAATCGATCGTAAATGATACAGATGTCCCAGGAATACGTATCGACGCTAAATTGTCAGAAACAAAAACAGAAAAGAAATCGAATGAAGTGAAACATCATGTACCTCGTCTTAGCGACGAAGATTTCAATAAATTCAAAAAGTTGCATGTCCGTAGTGGAGAATGGATACGATTGTTTCCACATATTTTAAAATCTATTAAAAGCATCGAAGCTCTCGATCACTTTCCCACCTTTGAGGAAACAACATCAGCCGACCATTCCATGGTGACGTGCAGGCAAAGTGAGATCAAAGTTGGGAAAACTGTAAAACTGCACATTCAGGCAAGAGATTACAATAACAAAGCAAAACATTATGGCGGTGATTACTTTCGTGTGTTCCTGCAGAGGCCATCATTTAAAGGCGACGGAGTTAGTTGCACAATTACTGATAATACAGATGGAACGTATGAAGCCGAATGTCCGTTATTGTGGACTGGGAAGGCTCGCGTTACTGTTACCATGGTAAATCCTAGCGAAGTGGCATATATTTCTATGGTAAGGACAAACGCATACTCAGAAGCATTCCTGACAATGAACACATCATTTATTAACTCTAAAGGAGAAACTGAATATGCTATTTGTGATATGGATTTATCGGACAGATTCAAGTGAGTGTTATAATATATATTCTTGGGTTTAATCGTGTAAATAGTTTTATTTTCGCTCACAATTGTTTGGAGCGTTGGACCGTGAATACTGTGCAAACTATTACCGGTAACAGAGTGTCCGTTTTTGAACCAATTATGTAAATAAACTCTTGATTTTCCTAGTATTACATACATTCAAGACCTATAAAATATGTATATATTAGCTTTGGAATCATCAGACTCTGAATACTGGTGAAGATACTACTGGTGTGTTTTGATGCTATTTGATATCAGCATAGTTGAAGTAGTAAAACGCATAATTTGATTGTTATATCAAGTCGGATCAATTGTTTATTTGTTGTTCTTTTTTTTCCAGAAAATCAGAGATATGCGACCATTCCCACCCAAAGACTGGTGAACCATGGTTCTGCGCTAAACCGCCATCTGGTGAATGCAACCCGATAGCATATCAAGGACACCGAAAATTTGAGAAAAACATATTTCCTGGTGATAGATATTTTAATCGCAAACTTAATTCGGAAAAAGTAATAGGCAAATCTGGATTTACTATATCCATTGCAAAAATAACGACAACTTTAAATGATGATGAATTTACAAGCCACGTTCCCAACCAATTGCCGTGCAGCTATACCAAAGAGGATTTACATGTCCCATTGGATCCTGCTGAAGCCACGGGATATATCCATCAGGGCAAATGGAAATCTCTCGAATGCAACAACACCGTAACAGATCAAATATGGACAACTTGTTTAAATCGCAGTGCCATCCACGTTATGGGCGATTCGACTATTCTGGCCTTCTATCGCGCTATTGTAAATAAGCTACACGGTCGACATGGGGTGGACAAAAATATAAGTTGGGCGGAACCACAAAAAGGGTTTTCCAATCTTACCGACACAATATTTCACTTTACCTCCCACGGGCATCCTTTTCATGCAGAAGGCCCACCCGAAGCCCGAATGTACATTTACGATGCGTTGGATAAAATTGTTGATGTTGGACGCCCAACTTATGTCGTTTTCGGCCTGGGTGTGCATTTCGGGCGGTTACATCCAGATATTTATCTGAGGCGTCTCAAATATATTAAAATATCAGTGTCACGATTACGGAAGCGAGTCCCAGGCATAAAAATATTTATTTTGGGGTTACATTCAAATTGGCCGTGGATTTTTCAGCCGTGCTTTGTGCCATATCGACATGAAGTGCTGCTTCGCAATGAGTTCCGAAAATCTGAAGACGTTACTTTTGTACCCTTCTGGGATATGTTAGAAATTCTTGGAAATAAAGCTCCACACCCAGCTGGACGAATTATTAATCGAGAACTTGAGCTGTTGTTTTCCTACATGTGCAAAAATTGATTTTTAAATATGCATTTATTTATCGCCTTTCGCCTAATTTTATTATTATTTATATTACAGATAGCGCTTTTCAGGAAAACTATGCTGAAATAATATTAATTTATGCCCGTTGTGTTGATTGATGGTGTTAAAACCCAAAGTTTAATATCAAATCATTGCGACCAAAGTTTTTCAATTTGAAACTTCTCGAATATTTTTATACCACACAATCTTTTATTTATTGAAATTCCTTCCAATTGACATAACATATTATGTTAGTAGTATGATTATATGATCTCGACAGTCAAGTCAAGTGGCCAGTAACAAGCTAGGACAACCTGGAAACATCTTCTGTCAATAATACTGGTAACTGGATATCTTCCCGCGCAGAGCTGTGGTCAAAGCGAAATTCTGAATTTTTTTTTTTTTTTCGATAAAAAATGATAGATGGAGGGAATGCATATATATTGTCCAAGAGAGCATATTGAGCATTCACATGGCTGCATTTCACAAGTTGCGTGTAGTATCAAACCGAAAAGGTTAAATCGGGTGATTGAGACAAAAAGCCTAATTTTTAACGTGTTTGTTCAGGAAAACGCCAGGTTAATAGGCTCCAAAATGTGTACCTATCGTAATTAGAAAACAAGAGAGCATTGCTCAAACTTATGAGCCCGAAGGCCAAAACGAAGTTTTTCTTTGTTTTTTTACAAAGCGCTCTGCGAAGTAGTATATATAATTTTTTTCCAGTACCGTTATTTACTTTTTCAGGAAACTCGCGACTTCACTGACCACGAGCTTGCTGAAATACGATCACGGAATCGCCATACGGTGCGCAATTTTTAATTTTGTAGTCGCCATCACACAAAATTTTGAAGTGTAGAACAAATCTCATACTACCCACTGAAATTTTAGAAATAAATAAAAGTAATAGCCACCTAGCGACAACAACAATCTTGAATCACTGAAAATTTCAAAGTAATTGGTTTAGTAGTTAAAAGGAAAGCGATTTTTCATAACAACAATAACAAGAAGAAAAATATCAACAACAACAACCTCAATTTAACAAAATTACCCAGAGGTGCATTTCGTGTCCAATAGTAGCAAGTCGACACCAAAGTGAATACAGTACTCTGCGAGACGAGACCGTTTATCTTTAGAAATTTAGTAACAAATAATGACTTGTTCCTATTTCCAAAAGTTGCACGTTTTTACTACCATAAATATGTGTTACCATCGCTTCTATATTCTCTGCTTTCTCGGTATCATGGGCCAATGAACGCAGACTTCTGCACAACGTATCAATTAAAATTGGTCAGCTGTAGGTGGATCCCCGTGGTCAAATGAATATCAGATGTACTACTGCTCGCTTTTGCGTTGAGTAGCCTTTCCATAGTCTTTTTCAGTTATTATTAGTTGAGTTATTCTAAGAAGGTGTTAAAAAGTATAAGTAAGATATTAAACACTTGTATATCCTTACAATAGGTACGGTGCGGTAACTCCCAAGGTAGGATAGACTTAGTATAATATGTCACAAACAACGATATTTTCTTGCTCTTATGAAAGGTTTATGGTTAATTAGGTGACGATTCTTGACTATTCAGCTCATACTCATTCAGGACTCATACTACTATGTGTGCATTATATGCATATGTGCATACGGCGGTGTGGCGCATCGTGCTAAGCGTTGGGAATACGCTCGCCACCGCATATCTAATTACCCTCCGTGGGATCGCAGGTTCGAATCCCATGAGGAGATGATTATGTGCGAGAGGATTGCCGGACTGCTCACCGCCGTAGGGTGGTTCACGTAACCGCTGGGCGGTTACGGCTACCTCTATCATCAAGTCCATGCCTCCGAAAACAAATGACTGGCTAACTAATCCCATACCCGACTTGGACTGGTAACCGGACAAGAGGCCGTGGTCCGCTATATGATTAAGCCGTCTTATCGGCTTTCCTCCCCCAAGGGGATAAACATGTAAATCCTATCCTATGCTATATAGGCTACGGCATATTTGATTCAGAAAATAATGGCTGTTTCTGTAATGCACGTTTGTGTGAAAGAGGGGAAAATAATCAATTTTACTGATGTCAGTTGGTCTATATCAGGGGTCATCAAACTACGGCCCGCGGGCCGGATCCGGCCCGCGACGTCATTTTATCCGGCCCGCGGCGTCATTTTATCCGGTCCGCAATAACACACAAAAATGGCTAAATTTTTTTCCAAGGGAGATTTTCACGAGCATCGTCGTTTTTGTTTTTTCGTAACATTGGCCAATCGGCAAGATGCAAAAAAGTGACGTAATAATAGGCCTTTCCGCGTCCGCTCAGACACTTTCGTCACCCTGACAGATTTTCAGTCGTGGTTGTAAACAAAACTTCGTTTTTGCGACTTTGAATGCTACCAGTACGTAACTTTTCTGCGATACACTTCCACACTCGTGGCTCGTGCTTTCGACGAAACTGTTTGTTTTTTGTGCTAAAATAAACGTCGAATGTGCATTTTGTGCAGTACTGTAATCCCTCGCGTACTGCTCCAATTTCAAACGCCACACTAACTTTTGTACTGCTTTAATGCGGATATTGTAGGTATGTTACAAAAAAATTGAAGTCCATCCGATTTAAATAAAAACTGCTTTAGTTGAAAGATCTGAGTAAAAATAGAAAACAATACCAAGTTTATAATAAACGGTCAAGAAATAACGGAGATATCGGAATTTTAGTATCGCCCGACAGGCCAATTTTTTCCATAATGATTGTATTACTTTTTTGATAAGAACTGAACTAAATATGGAAAAATAACACATATCAATCACTAATCTTTCGATGTGCGTCACATCTATGGTATATTGAGACTATTTCAGAATTTTATTCTGGCAACGGTCATTGACACCGCCGAAAGATCGTCGCAAATAAACGCTGGAGTTGTGCATGATAGTTTGACAGTGGTTCATTGTGGGTAATAATTAACGATGTGCTGATTGTACGAACTTCATAAACATTGTATCAAGTTAGGAAAGAAATACACACGTCCACATACATTTTATTGGTGTCCATAGACAATATCATTAATTTGCACTACGTATAACTGGAGCGTAATTTTTAAAAGCGTCGAATGTTGGGAAATTTATGCGCTAATGAAAAAAATCAAATACCAGATAATAGTTGTTTATTTTATCTAAATTATGTCAAAATTTCATAGAAATCCAAGCTACAGCAGGTAGTCGTTTTTATGAGAGGTATTTCAACTCGGCGTAACGGTACTTAGCAGGCCGTAGTAGTATATATTTACGAGCAGACGTGATGCGTACATTTTTTGCCGCGGATTTTGTAACATTTCTAATTCATGTCGGCAACGTTTTGATAACAGCTAAACTCAGGATAATTGTCTAGATATAGAAATCTTGTTAATTTTTTTTCCTAGGATGTTCTCGATCTATATTCTGCGATATTCCCAACATTTGTGAATTTATTGTATTGCATTGACAAAAATATTCATCCGGCCCGTTTCAACACAATTTGAGTCATACCCGGCCCGCGGTCAAAAAAGTTTGGTGACCCCTGGTCTATATTCATAGAACCTGGGAAGCAATGATAAGTTATGCCGGAGTTGGAAGAAAGTAGCATTGGAAGCAATTGAGAGGTGAGAAATCAAGTTGTAGACCGACAGTTGATGTTTCAAAATATAGTATATAGGGCCATAGGACATTTCAGACTGTGATATATCGAGATTCAGTGTAGATAGAGTTTAGCATGCAAACACTGCAGGACTGTAGTACATCAGAAAAAATGCATTATGGGTATTAGTCAGTATTTAGTGGTATTTTTACAGTCATGCTGTTCCAAAAATGACTTTCTTCCTCGTTTTAGATACTGTTTTACAAAAAAAATGGCAATATTCCAACAATCCAACCTGACGCAGGCTGTAATCCGTGCTGCTATCAGCGCTAAAGCGTAAAGGTATATGAGAAGATAACAATTGCAAACAGCTTGGATGGGCTATTCATATTAAAATACACTTTTCTGGAATTGAAACTGCCCATCAGACTGATGTTGGAGAACTTCATTGAGTTTTTCAATTCATTTTTTTCTCAACTATGAAGATCTTTTGAGGTTAACAAGGCATTAATAAATAAAGCTGAGGAATTTGTTTGTTCACTGTATGGAGAGGATATGAAAAATGTAAATGATACCAGGGCAATTCTTTTCAAAACTTGCAAACATATGGATTACCGTATACTCTTCCACTCAACATTGATTCACTGAAGAAGCATGTTCTGAGGGCAAATTACTAAGCAGGACTTCATCACTGTTGCGTGAGTGTTGCCTAGAATCAAGGCCAATTATTCTCCCACCTATTGGCCATGAATTGGTTCTTGATGATGGTGTTTTGCGGATGAATTGATGAATCTACTTCCAGCCTCCAAACCAGTTCTTGAATTGGCAAACTACAAATGTGAAAAAAGGGGGTCAAAATAATTTATGCACGTGTGCCAAAAACAACCTAAATTACACGGATTTTTATATCGACTGCAAAAACCACAGTACATTTATAGAGGAAAATACGATATTCGATGAGGATTTCGGAAGCAATTCAGAGGAAAGTGAATTAGATATTGAAGTTGATTTAATAAATATTCTATTATTATTTTTTCAGACATCTGTTAGTGTCGAAGGTCCTGTTTCTACAAGTAATATTGCCTTTATTTCAAATACACAACCACCAAAACTGAAAAAAAAAAAAAATTGTAATTTTGCTGTTCACTATGTCATGTACATACTGTATTCATCTGATTTATTGACTTTTTCGGAAGATTTCTCCTAGAAATACCCGATTTATTTGTGTTTTTGTGCTCACGATGTTAATTTGTGACTTCGTTGCTTAAAAATAAATACGTTGGATAGCTTCTATTAAATAAATGCAACCTCTCTATGCTGTGTTGTTGTGAACCTCTGGTTATTGATTTTCTGGGAACCCCCTTATATTCAATTTCGCATCAGGATTTTGAAACAAGCTGTAATACGTTCAGTATGTTCATTTTCATACAAAATTGAAGAATGTATTTAGTTACCAGATGTGCGCTACGAAACTCATTTCCTGGTCGTTTTTCAAGGCCCTATCCGTGGTAAGGATCTACAAGTGTTTAATATCTTTCTTCTACTTTTTACCACCGTCTTGGTTTATTGTCATTGGTATAACTTAACTACTAAAAATAAAAAAGACGATGGAATGGCTACAAACTGAGATTCATCCGCCCGCCCAGTTGATCAAATTTTA